GGCGGAAAGACAATCAAACCGGTCCTGTTTCCAACTCAGTATATAAATACAGCACGATCTAAAATTTAAGTATCGTATTTGAAGGCTAGCGTCTTAGGAAGTGAATCATGCGGCACGAGTTGTTACATCCCGACGTCCGCACCTTGTTGAAGCATACAAAAGGGTATGCTGATTTAGATCGGGAATCTGTCCGATAAACACATAGGGACAGCTAGCCCAGATGTGCATACCGAAAATCGTTTTTTTAGCAGCACACAGATAAGGTTACAGCAGCTATTGGTTAGTTGGTTAGTTGGTTGGTTGGTTGTTTTACACCGCACTCAGCAATATTCCAGCTATATGACGGCGGTTTGTAAATAATCAATTCTGGTCCAGAAAATCTAGTGATTGAGATCATGAGCATCGATCCACGCAATTGGGATCGATGACATGCTTCAACCAAGTCAGCGAGCCTGACCGCCCGATACCGTTAGTCGCCTCTTACGACAAGGAAAGTCGTCTTTTACGGCAAGCATGGGTTGCTGAAGACCTATTCTACCTCGGATCTTCACGGGTCACAGCAGCTTTGGAGACATGAATGATTGTACTGAATCTATGGGTGGATGGGCGATGGGCGGATGGGTAAATGAATGATGGGCGGATGGGTGGATGAAGACGCTCATACCAAGACAAATACCAGGCAAGAAATTAATTCAAGAAAACAAGCTGATCCCTCCCTTCCTTTCCAGACTGAAGAAATCTTCTTTTTTAATTTTTTTATTCCATAATCGACTGAAGAAATCTTGACTTACCAAAGTATTGTTGAACTGCTTGGGGTGGTTTCAGATATACTGGCCAAAAAAAACCGCATAGCTGAAATCTGTTTTTCAAACCTGACTGTTATTAAAGATGAAGGCTTGAACTCAATATAAATGTCATTGCTAACTGTGAATATTGACCTTACACTAATTTATTGCACCCGAACACAACATTTGGTGACTTGTCGCCTGAATACAGCATCTTGAAACCAAACTGGGAGAAACTGCATGGAGAAAAAGCTGTGATCATGCTGCACGGGCAAATACGGCTACTTAACCTTTATACCGATGGGTATAAAAATTTGGCAATCCTGCTGCGAATCACTCTTCTATGTTCTGTATACGTGACTCTCATGATGCCAAGACTGAATGAAGACTGTAGAAACAGAGCCACTGGACGTCTGGAAGCTGGAGAAAGTCAGACATCAGTAGCCAGGCACTTTAACGTGAGGCAGAGTACCATTTCTCGTCTGTGGCAGCGCTACAGACTCCACAACTCTACAAGAGATCGACCGCGATGTGGAAGTTCCAGGTACACAACTGCGGCGCAGGACCGCTTCATCCGGGTGTTGCATCTTCGCCACCGGACAATCAGTGCAGCATACACAGCTAACAATGTTCCTGGTCTTCGTAGATGCGTGTCTACCGACAGAGAAATGAACGCTTTACTCGACACTGTATGCATGAAGTCGACCGATACGGCGGTGGAAGATGTGGGCAGGGTTATCCGCAAATGGTAGGACAGATCTAGTGCACGTGCAGGGAAATTTAACTGCTGTACGCTACCGTGATGAAATCCTTCAACGTCACCTTATTCCCGCCATTGACGTCAGAAGAGATTTTCCAGCAAGACAACGCAAGACCGCATACTGCACGTGTTACCATGGATTATCTTGCCCACAAGAATGTTACTGTGCCGCCATGGCCCACCAAATCGCCTGATCTAAACCCCATTGAACATTTGTGGGATCTGCTAGACAGACGTGTACGACGCCGACAGCCTCGACCACAGACGCTTCAACAGCTGAACCATGCATTGCAGGATGAGTGGAGAAGGATTCCACAACGCCAGATTCGACGACTCATACAGTCCATGCCCAGGCGGTGCAGAGCTGTGATCGATGCTCGTGGTGGTAACACCCGGTACTGACTTTGGCACAGTGCCATCAAAGACACAGACGTCCCTTAGAACATTAAAATACTGTTTGTAGTGTAAGAAACATGTGCCTTATCCTGTGTAAAAATTGGTTGTTGTATCTTCATTATTTATTGTGTAATCCTATTTCTTTAAACATGTAATGAAACACTGATTATTCTGTTATGCGTTTCTTTTTTTGACCAGTGTTCTTGTGTTCAGTGTCGAAAATTATCCAATGATTGAGAGTAAAGATGTTTGTTTGTTGGTTTTTTAACGCCGCACTCAGCAATATTCCAGCTATACGACGGCGGTCTGTAAGTTATCGAGCCTGGACCAGACAATCCAGTGATTGATATCATGAACATCGATCCATGCAGTTTGGATCGATGACATGCATCAAACCAAGTCAGTGAGTCTGACCACCCGATTCCGTTAGTCGCCTCTTACGAGAAGCAGAGAGCTTTGGACACGTGGTTTTCTAACACAATAGCGTTAATGTAGGATACAGAACAGTTAATGATTAGCAGTCTAATCCGGGGTTTAACATCAGGGGGCACAGGTGGCCCAGTCATCTAGGGCGCCGCGATTCGCTGTGCAGAGTTGTGTCCCTTGGATACGCCAGAAACCTATGATTGTGGGTTCGAATCCCGGTTCGCCCCGATTATGTTTCTTGGTTTGTCAGCACCATACGCGTGGGTTTCACCGAAGTGGTAAACGTCTGAGACCTGCATCACTTCGGGCTTTCCTCCCACATTAAGCTGACACGCCCGTGATATGACTGGGATACTGTTAAAAGCGGCGTTAAACCCAAATCACTCACTCACTCACTGAACATCAGCCTGTAACTAGTGACAACTGATAGAAAGAAGAATGCCTTACATGCAACAACTGGCTGCAGGGTATGTACAATCACTTTAACTTAAATGTTGGTCTCTGTAGTATAGTCTCGAACTGGATTGATGCACTCCACAAAACAATATGAATGTTGTCTTCCATATACAAATGTGATTAAAAGTTTATTCACGACCATCAAGTTTATTCATCCATCGACGGGGATGAATGCAACCATCGTTTAATTACATCACTTCCTCAAATATGAACTTCCCCCGCCGTGATATTGCTGGAATATTGCTAAAAGCGGCGGAAAACCAAACTCACTCACTCACTCACTCAAATATGAACTCGAGGTCATTCCTGTCACAGCAAACACGACGAAAGTAGAGACGTTTTGAATACCACTAAAAAACTCGAACATATGCAAATAAACATGACCCGTCGAAATTCTTGTTTTGAGTTCACTTGTTTAATAACACAATTATCAACTACGCTTTGTGTTATATGCTTTGGGCAACAAAACCACCTCTTCTCAGGTGAGACAGGTGACAGCGAGAGCGTGCACGAGTTGGAATGTGACAGAATAATTTTAAAAACTTACATGTTGTGGGATCCAGTGGTATAATTAGTCATGGATATTAACTACATGTTGCCTGGTCATGTGACCTGGCCTTTAAATAAAAAGTCATACAGGTCACGTGATGCCATGGAACACATAACCAACAGGAAGAATGAGAAGTTTGTTGGTTGGTTGGTTGTTTTACGCCGCACTCGGCAATAAACGCAGGATATATTCTGCGCGCAATGCGTTTTGTCTGCTAATGTCAGGACATCGGGCGCAATGCGTTTTGTCTAGGGTAGACTAGGTCTTCAAAAACCCAGGCTTGCCGTAACATGCGACTATGCTTGTCGTAAGATGCGTTTTACGGGATCAGGTGGTCAGGCTCACTGACTTGGTTGATGCATGTCATCGTATGCCAATTGCGTGGATCGATGCTCGTGACATCAATCACTGGATTGTCTGGTCCAGACTCGATTATATACAGGCCACCCTCATATAGCCGGAATATTCCTGATGCGGCGTTAAACAACAAACAAACAAACAAACAAACAGAAGCCCAGGATTGCCTCGCTCATTCTTGAGTCCATGACTGAATGCTTCACTGATGTATGAGACCAACTAATCTGTCCGCCTAGACGACTCTGTTCACGACCAAGAAAAGTTGTCATCCATTAACGACGTACCTTAAATGGTGTCAAAACGGGGAACCTGTTCTGAGCCAGAATGTCTATGCAATGTAAGATGGTCTATTCCCAGCAGACTACTGCCCATCCTATACCCAAGCATCCGACGCTAGCTACAATGGGTAACGGACCCCGCATTCCGCGACTGAAAAACGACACCATCCCAGACAATACGTGACCAGGTAAACAGGTTTTTCTCCCTTGCACGAGTCCAGGTAGAACAGTCGACCAGAGACTAGAATCGCAGTCAAGGAGACAAAGCCACAGAGGAAAACTTCATTGATTACGGACTATGGCTCTGGCTTTCTCCGTCAATTATTTATTAAACAACAATCGGACAGAACAAAAGTCCTCCAAATTGGGGTAATATGGAGAGTCGATCATACAACTGTTGTATTCCATTGGAAGCTATAAAACCTATAAGCAGAGAGGCAGAGAAACAAAAAAACAGTAATAAATAGCTATGCATGTTCCCCCGACTGTAAGCTGATCATATGTGACGCAGATTGCATACAATTATCGCGACCACTGCACGGGTATAATCATGGTTTTGTGTACAATTTGCTGCGTCATGGTGGTGTCTAACGAGGATAAAATCACAAAAACATTCACTAAAATATGTTTACACCAATACAGAATTCCGACACACAAACAAGCCTTCGTAATTACCTCCAAGACTTACACTACTTGTCCTGCCATAACAGTTTAATAGGATGTATGACCAGAGGTCAAAATGCCTTGTATCAAATCAAACCTGAAGTCCAGGCGCTACTGGTCACAGTGACTGCTGTGACAGATGCCCTCCTGACTAGAAAATGTACCCCACAAGCATTGTCAACATATATGAAAGTTTTCCTCTTCGTAAAGAGTTGTTTCCAGGTGTACGTGCGATTAAGTACTATTGAGCAATCCCGCGTCAACACATGTGCACGAAGTTGTGTTGCAATGCCGGAGCGCTTTAATCACGTGACCACGTGTTATTTCTAGGATGACCTATTTAATCGGATTCTCGGCGAGCCTGTCACATCGGCCATTCCACACAGCTACTTCGCAACTGTCAGTCGGGATTTCTTATTCAACATGACCAAAACAAAGATAAACATCGCCAATGGAGTAATCTGCGCCATAGTGATTGGAGCAGGTATGTCATCTTCTCGTCTATCAGTATAGAACCATTGCATAGAACCAAAACAATTTTACCGCTCTATGAAACCTGCTATTGCTCAATACGTGACTCTTATCTCGCCTTTAATATTCCTGATGCTGGATGGTTTTGTTTTCGTGATAAACATATATTCCCCAATCTTGGTGCAGGACTAAAACTAACTGTATTATATAAATATATATTGTATCGTATACACAAACTACACGTTACTCTACACATCTAAATGTGACTGTGATTGATTAAATGGTCAATATGTGTTAGTTTGGACGGTGTACACAACACGTGACAAGAAATTCAAGGAATTTTAGAATAATGCGAAGGAATGGTTAGAAATACTTTAAAGTGAAGCTTAGGCGTGGCCGTGTTGAAGGAAGACCGCCCTAGTTTTAGAACTACGCCATAGAGGCCCACATGTCGTTAACTTAAAACAGAACAACTTTGAACTAGCATATGCATTATCCAAAGTATGAAATGATATCGATTTGTAAACCTGCATATTGCCCCATAATCTGAATACATCATTTGGTTTTGATGGTCTCGTATTCTATACTGTGCCCCACATGATCGTGTAACTAATAATAACGGACAAACTCGCAGACGAGGCTAAAAGAGCTTTTATCGTCTAGCAACTGTGCTGGTAACTTACTTACATTCTTGTTGAGGAAATTATAAATATTTACAGTGTTTTCAAGAGTCGTGTGATACAGCACTTCACAGTCTGCTGTGTTATCTAAGATAAGGCGTAATTATAAACAGGTTACTCGGCCTGAGGGAGACATGCAAGACTTTGTACAAACTGCTTGTTCGTTATCTTAACCTTGAGTCAGGGCGGATTTGCCCATAGGGCAGGAAATGCTTAATTGTTGTATATGTTCTGTGGTACGGGACTGTGTGAAAGGGGCCTTTTGTTTGCTCAGTGTTCATCAGACCTTCTTGGACGCTATATGTCCTCTGTACACGGCATACTGTACAACCTGGGATGGGGTCTTGGGTCTTGGGCTGGGGTTATGGGCTGGGGTCTTGGACTTGTTTGGGGTCACATCATATGTTTTCTGCCTGAAGCTGAGAATGAAGACGTGATTAGTGACATACATATACACATAGCTGTGTAGGATAGCTAGATATTTATCATAAAATAACACTGATGAAGACTGCAACTAAATACGTTTTCTGGCTCATTATTGTTATAAATATATCACAATGTTTCAATGTTTATCTACATTATATGTAAAGCACATTATTTTTCCTTTAGATAATTTACACTTCATAGCCATACCACTACTATCCATGAATGATTTCTCTGAATTTTTGTAAAAATCAAGAATTCAAAATCTTTCTCATTACCTACCCTGTACATATTTCAAAGCTGCTAAATGAAAATGTTTTGTTTACATATTTCATCTGATAATACAAGAGACCCCAGCCCATAACCCCAGACCCCCCTCACCCTAGGTTTTACAGTATCCCCTGCACACTCGGGCACAACTTACACAGAAGACAACAACGTTGTTTAAGTGCTAAACCAATGTCTGTGACATGTGATACGCTAGTTTTTATCCGTTCTCAGATTAACTGAATATGATATCCGTTACCCGTTCGTACATTTTTTGACTTTGTTTAAAACCTATGTCCCCATCAGTGGGTAAGCTAGTATCTGCAATTCCAATTTACAGACGTGTTACCATCTATCACTGACATTTGGCCAGTGTGTGGTATTGAATGTCCCACGACGGGTGCCGTTTTGTTTCTATAGCATGTTCATTGCTTGGGACACCAGAACATCGAGACGGCCCCACATGACATTCACTAATGGTTATTGCTCTGGCATTATTATTTCATAAACCTCAGTTATGTAGATCAGGCATCAAATATAACAAGGTTGGGACAGCTTGAGCTGACGCTTGAGGTTGTGATTTTATTTCATGCCAAACGCACTATTGACTGCGTCCAATTGTATTTACTCCTTAAATCTCCGAAAAAGCTTTAATCGTTAACCTTGTTGTTAACGCAACAGCCAAAATGACCCCCCCCCCCCCTCTTTCCCCCCGAAATTATATATATAAAATGTACGCGGATGAACCGAACTCCACCCACATTGTGATAATGAATGTGCAGGGAAGACTAAATCTGCGTTGGGTGTCGGCTTGACAGCGACGACATAAATACGGAGTTATAAACTGTAAAATCGTGAATGCATGGCCATTCTTCGCTTTAATAAAGCGAACAGAACATAGCCCGTTCACTTTGTGACACGAGCCAGTGCAACAACAGCAGTCCTGGTGAAAACGTAACACTGCTGCATATTATATTTCGTTTTCCATAAATATTGAAAATCGGATTGGTCTCCGATACTTTGTAGATGTTATAATTAACAATTCACAACACACACACAGATAATGAAAACAATATTCAACACCGATAAAAGGAATGGCATGTAGTTTCCTTGTTGACTGTACTCATAACGTTTGACGTCATGATCCATTATCTGCATTGAATGAAGACATCTGGTGTTGCCTCACATAGTGACGTACACCACTGTTTGACGAAATGTAAATATACAGTCAGCGTAGGGGGCTACGGCCGGGTCAACACACCTCTCACCGCATGCCATATATAGCCATATCAGAGGAAAAAAGAAAGGGAGTCGACATATCTATCATACATGCCAACTAGGAGAAATCTGACATCGCATTTAACCAGGATCTATGCAATAGAGATATTCTTAAAATACACCAACCAGGATCTAGGCTACAGAGATAATCTAAATAAGGAAAGGCGATGAGTCAACAAGGATGGGTTGTCATTTGCATAACCCCTTACAGAACTGGTCGTCAGCAACCCATGAATGTCTGCTAATGTCAGTACATCACAAGACCCGTAAAGATCCGGGGTAGAACTGGTCTTCAGCAACACATGATTGTCTGCTAATGTCAGTACATCACAAGACCCGTAAAGATCCGGGGTAGAACTGGTCGCCAGCAACCCATGATTGTCTGCTAATGTCAGTACATCACAAGACCCGTAAAGATCCGGGGTTGAATTGGTCGCCAGCAACCCATGATTGTCTGCTAATGTCAGTACATCACAAGACCCGTAAAGATGCGGGGTAGAACTGGTCATCAGCAACCAATGATTGTCTGCTAATGTCAGTACATCACAAGACCCGTAAAGATCCGGGGTAGAACTGGTCGCCAGCAACCCATGATTGTCTGCTAATGTCAGTACATCACAAGACCCGTAAAGATCCGGGGTTGAATTGGTCTTCAGCAACCCACGATTGTCTGCTAATGTCAGTACATCACAAGACCCGTAAAGATCCGGGGTAGAACTGGTCATCAGCAACCCATGATTGTCTGCTAATGTCAGTACATCACAAGACCCGTAAAGATCCGGGGTAGAACTGGTCGCCAGCAACCCATGATTGTCTGCTAATGTCAGTACATCACAAGACCCGTAAAGATCCGGGGTAGAACTGGTCGCCAGCAACCCATGATTGTCTGCTAATGTCAGTACATCACAAGACCCGTAAAGATCCGGGGTTGAATTGGTCATCAGCAACCCATGCTTGTCTGCTAATGTCAGTACATCACAAGACCCGTAAAGATCCGGGGTAGAACTGGTCGCCAGCAACCCATGATTGTCTGCTAATGTCAGTACATCACAAGACCCGTAAAGATCCGGGGTTGAATTGGTCTTCAGCAACCCATGATTGTCTGCTAATGTCAGTACATCACAAGACCCGTAAAGATCCGGGGTTGAATTGGTCTTCAGCAACCCATGCTTGTCTGCTAATGTCAGTACATCACAAGACCCGTAAAGATCCGGGGTTGAATTGGTCTTCAGCAACCCATGCTTGTCTGCTAATGTCAGTACATCACAAGACCCGTAAAGATCCGGGGTAGAACTGGTCTTCAGCAACACATGTTTGCCGTTAAAGGCGACCTTACTTGTCGTACCACGCCATGTACGGGATCGCCGTCGACCTAATTGATGCATGTCATCGTATATCTTTCAGGTATATGTTCGAGTATGTAAGACACGTTGTTAACTGAAGCGTGACCTAGACATGATGGATTTCGAAAAAATTATGTGACGCAATAGTGTCAGTTACGGAAAACCCAGGTATATGTTCGAGTGTGGTAGACGCGTTGTTAACTGAAGCGTGACCTAGACATAATGGATTGCGAAATAATTATATGACGCAGTGGTGTCAGTCACGAAAGTTCCAAGGCTTAGAAATCAACAAGCATAACAAGTTTCCATATAAAGCTTTGAATGGAAGAAGGAAAAAAAGGTTATGACGTTTAGAAAAGGGTGTGGTGGCCTGTGCAGTAGTGTAGCATGTAGTTTATGAACAAAGATTTTACCAAGAATGTATCAAGAACAAGCACTACGGGTAAATAACCCTCACCTCATCCCCAATGTCCAGCTTCAGTGGTCAACCGGCCGCTCTAACCTTTATGACAGCCGCTGCCCCGTACGTGACTCTCTCCTGCTGGCCATGGTAAATATAACATACATAAACTCCCTGTTAAGCCCCACATCCCACCAACGTCCCTTTGATATATATCATGCCGTTGACCCGTACGTGACTCTCTCCTGCAGGCCATGGTAAATGTACCATATATAAACTCCCTGTTAAACCCCACTTCCTGCTAATGTGCCCGTAGTGGCTCACTGCTTCTGCCTTGGTAATTTACCCAGCAGCTGTTATCTAGTTTGTGTTGATCAGAATGATATATTCAGCTTACTTACCTCAGGGAATATGTAAAACATATACTGAACCGCAAAAGAAACGTCACCTCAAGTAACATTGCATGAAAGGTCCGGAAAAATGAAATTTGATGATAAAAAAACAAAGCAGATGACAATAAAACCGATCGCCCAAACGCATGACGGCAACGGCCATGGTAACCCGATGCACGTGAGTTCCGTTCCCCATTTCTTGCCCTATAAAAAATCATCAAGATCGGATAACATTCATTCGTTTAATACAACATGAATTAATACAACATGCCAAGATTGACATGAAATCAGCAACACCAAGCCCTTGGACGATTGCAACCTGGACAAACCGCCCCGCAAGTAGCCAATGCATTTCAAGTCCACGTAAGGACCATATAAAGGCTCAAGATAAGGTACCAGACCACCAACACTACAGATGACCAAGGGTCACCACCCGACGTCAGGATCGTCAGATTGTGCGACAGCATCTTCAAAATCGCTTTGTTACTGCTGCTGAAACTGCTCGACAGACCATGGGGACACACCAGCGACACAGAGCGGACACCGTGCGTCGACGATTGACAAGCAGGCACCTCCACTGTCACAAGCCACACCGAGGACCAATTCTGACACCACGTCATCGTGTGAGGTGGAATTTGTCTTGCACAGTGGGTCGGCCCAGAGCATCGGTCCTGGGAGAGGCAATGGTGTCACAGCAGCTCGGTACATTGATCAAGTCTTGAGACCACGCGCCATACCTCATGTGGCACGTCGCCGCAACCACGAGTTTCAGCATGATAACGCCCGTGCCCACACTGCGAGAGCAATAAGAGAATTCCTCTAGCAGAATGGCATCAGAACCATGCAGTGGCCTGCCCTCAGTCCCGATTTAAATCCCATTGAGCACTTGAGGGACGAGATTCAAAGACAGCTAAATGACGTCCGACCAAGGCCGACAACTGCAGCTGAACTGCATCAGGCGTTCCTCAGAGCGTGGGCTCAAGTGCCTATGACCTTCATCAACCGCCTCATCCATTCCATGTATCGACGTTGCACGGCAGTCATCAATGCACATGGCGGACACACGAGATACTGACTTGTGATGCCATTTTCTCAGAGACTAGTGTTGTGTTTCACTTTAAGAACATTTGACACTTTAATTTCATCCTTGATGATTAGTTTTGCCAAGTTTCATCTATTTAATGTCTCAAAGTATGTTTACAGTGTTTGAACGAACAGTAAGGTTTCTCATATATCTATCCATGGTGACGTTTCTTTTGCGATTCAGTATATAAACTCCCTGTTAAACCCCAATCCCACCAACGTGCCCATGCTATGAGGCGTCTAGAAGGATGGTAACACCATTGTATTTTATTTCTTTAATGGCACACCTTTTTTAAAAATATAATGTCATGCATTCAATCATTCGGGCATGCCTGCACATACAGAATACTGCACCCAATCGTTAGATGCTATTTTTACGGAAGGAGTAGACTTTCTATGGTGGCTGACCGAGCGAAAACTATTACCTTTGTCACCAAGCTGAATCGATGGCGTTAAATTGAAGGGAAAACGACTGTTGTCGGGTGCATCACGTTTATATGCACAGAGCAAGATACTCCGACGTGTCTGTAATCTATATCTACATGGCAAATGATTATAGCTTGATATCCTCAGATCTATGTACAGCGCTAGCTAATACAGACAATAAAGCGAAATTGGAGCTGGTGACGTGCATGTTTGGTTAAATAACGTGTTGATCTTGAAGAAGTCTCGATATTTTTTTAAAATATTTAATGAATGGAAAAGAACTGTTTCAGCGTGATCTTTCATGCATGACGTTACATGGTTAGCAAGGTCACGGTTATTTGGTCACGAGTTATAAAACGAGTGCAACCTTGCAAGGCACAGGTGTGACGTACAGGGTTAGTGTCTCGCCACCTGCCTCTTCACCTTTGTTGAACGACACACTGAACTCGGTGTGTTAGTGCACGGCCTTAACGCATGATTCGATTCTCGGAAATGAAATTACTGAAGTCCACGTTGACCCGTCTTTGGGTTCTATGTGGGCGAGATGGAGCAACCGGTTATAGGTTTGCCTGAAACTTGATTACCACATTTGTCTCCAAAACATGACCAACAGTTTGTTTGTGTTTGGGTTTGGTAAATATCTTTATTAGCAATAAACATTTATTTAGATATCCTTGGATTTTATATCATTTGAGGGGGCACGGGTGGCCCTGCCGTCTAAGGCGCCGCAATTCGCTGTGCAGAGTTGCGTCCCTTAGGCACGCCAGAAACCTATGATCGTGGACTCGAATCCCGGTTCGCCCCGATTATGTTTCTAGGTTTGTCAGCACCATACCCGTGCTCGTTGGTTTCACCGAAGTGGTAAACGTCTGAGACCTGCATCACTTCGGGCTTTCCTCCCACATTAAGCTGACACGCCGTGATATAACTGGAATAGTGTTAAAAGTGGCGTTAAACCCAACTCACTCACTCACTTATTTCATTTGAAAAGCGACTTGCGCAGTAATATATGGGTTCAATAATATTTATAGTATAAATATTTGTGAAAATGACCCATGTATGCAGGTGAAATATGGAATATATACAGCATGTGCATATTTGAAGCAGTGATGCCAACAGGGTGTTGCAAATGATATGCAGGCAGGGGAAGCACACATTCACAGACACAGCCCGAATAAGTCCCTAGAGGCTTCATGCGCACAACTGACCTAGACGGACTCTGTGGATGAATAACCAGGGTCTGTTGAAGCCTTTTTTCCCAGACCACATTAACCCTAAGTGGCCCAAAGTATTGTTGTTGTCAGGGACATTCACTCTGATCATGTGTGTTGTCACGTGCCAAGCACAACACCTGCAGCACGTGCTTTTCGCGTTGATGTGAACACCAGGGTGCCTTACAACCTTAGCACTACGACTGTCGTAAGTCTATGTTAGGGTATGGGAGTTACGATCACCTTAGCGCTAAGATCGCTTTGTACAACGGCACCCCGGTGATTTTGGTATGTTCATGTGTGTGTGGTCAAGGCATGACGTCATCAGATTTTCTAAATCATCAGCGGCGTTTGTTTTACGCCGCTGTCAGGAATATTCGAGTGAGTGAGTATGGTTTTACGCCGATTTTAGCAATATTCCAGCAATATCACGGCGGGGGACACCAGAAATGGGCTTCACACATTGTACCCATGTCGGGAATCGAACCCGGGTCTTCGGCGTGACGAGCGAACGCTTTAACCACTAGGCTACCTGAGGAATATTAGAGACAGGTGATGATAGCCAGGGCCCACTTGCACAAAACGATCTTAGCGCTAAGACTATCGCAAGCCTACGTTAAAGTACGAGTGTTAAGATCATCTTAGCGCTAAGATCGCTTTGTGCAAGTGGTCTCAGTACGTCATAAACTCTTGGCAATCTAAACCAGTGGCTGACAGAACGAGCACCGATACCCGTAAGTGTTCCACGGTACTAACTGGAGGCCCCACATTGTGAGAGCCCTTTTTAGCTAGTTCATGCCACACACGTGGTGTCCTGGGGTCGATTCAGCCCCGGCCCCCACGGGGTCGGCAATTAGAAGACGGACATGATGCGTTTATCAATTAAATTATTGTTGATATTTACATTTGCCATGCAAAAGCCCGTTGCCTCCATACATTATTGTACTGTTATAACCATAGATAATCACTATGTTATGACATACGTAATCGCAATGTTCTACCATACATAATAGCACTGTTATAACAATTTATCATGATCGCGCTTTTATAACCATAATCGCACTGTTGTAACATACATAATCGCAACGTTATAACCACACATAATCGCACTGTTACAACATACAAAATAGTACTGTTATAACTAAGTGTTTCCTTTAAAAAACCCTCTCAGCGTATATAAGTCTTAGGTTTCTTTGACGTTATCATTATGTTTCCAGGAATCGCATTCAGCGTCTTGGTGTATATGCTCTTTGACAAGATTGTCCAGGCGACGCTGTCCAGTTTGAACCTCACCGGCGGTTTCAACGGCTATTCGGCGTATGCAGCATCTCCCGTATGGTCGATAGGCTTCGCTGTAGGTACCCTTCGTATACATTGTTACATGGCACTTTGGCTCTATTGATCCAAATACAAATACCATTAATTTGAGTTTAATGTTTTTAAACAGTAACCGTTTTTGACTCACAAAGCGATATGTTGTATTTAATTTCAAATATAACCATAAATTCTTAAAGAATTGTTTTGACTATTTTGTTATATCTCAATTACGAACACATTATTTTAATCATTTTTTTTCGAAGATTTGGCGGAAATCAATAATAGAAATTGCTACGTCATTAACGTAAATTTGTTGTAGCGTTATTTTTTCCATAGATCCTATAGTTTTCTTGCCTTGACCCGTTGACTTGTTTCCTCCACAGTTCATCATCCCTGGTCTTATCGGCGCTATAGCATCATGTGCACGATGCAAGGGAGGGGTGAGTAGCTATGCCGTTCCGTTTACAACCTTAATGTAACAGGTTACATCCTTATATAGCACTACAATGTAAGACTTTATTGAAGTAGGTTACAGTCTTACTGGAGCAGAACACAGCCTTATTGTAGCAGCTTACACCCTTATTGTAGCAGTTATACCCTTAACGTAACAGGTTACAGCCTTATTGTAGCAGCTTACACCCTTATTGTAGCAGTTATACCCTTAACGTAACAGGTTACAGCCTTATTGTAGCAGCTTACACCCTTATTGTAGCAGTTATACCCTTAACGTAACAGGTTACAGCCTTATTGTAGCAGCGTACACCCTTATTGTAACAAGTTTCATCCTTATTGTAGCAGGTTACAACCTTACTGTAACAGGATAAATCCGTACTTCGGTAGGTTACAGCCTTACTGTAACAGGCTGTGTTGTCACCGTGTGTTGTTTTGTCGGAGGTTACATTTTCAGTTTAGCTTTTAAGATCATTACCTAGTAGTAAGCATCACTACCTATTGTCTCCTCCTCCAGTATAGGTAAGATGATCCACTATGGCATGTGTATATGTGCAACAAGTCAGTATGTAAGTAACCAACTGCGGCACGTGTAAAAGTTCAATGTGTAAGAATGACCCACTACGGCATGTGTAACAGCTCAGTATGTAAGATGACCCATTACGGCACGTGTAAAAATTCAGAATGTAAGAATGACCCACTACGGCATGTGTAACAGCTCAGTATGTAAGATGACCCACTACGACACATGTAACAGTTCAGTGTGTAAGAATGACCCACTACGGCATGTGTAACAGTTCAGAATGTAAGATGACCCATTACGGCACGTGTAACAGCTCAGTATGTAAGAATGACCCACTACGGCACGTGTAACAGTTCAGTGTGTAAGAATGACCCACTACGGCATGTGTAACAGCTCAGTATGTAAGATGACCCGCTACGACAAGTGTAACAGTTCAGTGTGTAAGATGACCCACTACGGCATGTGTAACAGTTCAGAATGTAAGATGACCCATTACGGCACGTGTAACAGCTCAGTATGTAAGAATGACCCACTACGGCATGTGTAACAGTTCAGTATGTAAGATGACCCATTACGGCACGTGTAACAGCTCAGTATGTAAGAATGACCCACTACGGCACGTGGAACAGTTCAGTGTGTAAGATGACCCATTACGGCACGTGTAACAGCTCAGTATGTAAGATGACCCACTACGACACGTGTAACAGCTCAGTATGTAAGATGACCCACTACGGCATGTGTAACAGTTCAGTATGTAAGATGACCCACTACGGCACGTGTAACAGTTATGTATGTAAGATGACCCACTATGGCATGTGTAACAGTTCAGTATGTAAGAATAACCCACTACGGCACGTGTAACAGTTCAGTATGTAAGATGACCCACTACGGCACGTGTAACAGTTATGTATGTAAGATGACCCACTACGGCATGTGTAACAGTTCAGTATGTAAGATGACCCACTACGGCATGTGTAACAGTTCAGTGTGTAAGATGACCCACTACGGCACGTGTAACAGTTCAGTGTGTAAGATGACCCACTACGGCATGTGTAACAGTTCAGTGTGTAAGATGACCCACTACGGCACGTGTAACAGTTCAGTATGTAAGATGACCCACTACGGCACGTGTAACAGTTATGTATGTAAGATGACCCACTACGGCACGTGGAACAGTTCAGTGTGTAAGATGACCCACTACGGCATGCGTAACAGTTCAGTATGTAAGATGACCCACTACGGCATGTGTAACAGTTCAGTATGTAAGATGACCCACTACGGCACGTGTAACAGTTCAGTATGTAAGATGACCCACTACGGCATGTGTAACAGTTCAGTGTGTAAGATGACCCACTACGGCACGTGTAACAGTTCAGTGTGTAAGATGACCCACTACGGCATGTGTAACAGTTCAGTGTGTAAGATGACCCACTACGGCACGTGTAACAGTTCAGTATGTAAGATGACCCACTACGGCATGTGTAACAGTTCAGTGTGTAAGATGACCCACTACGGCACGTGTAACAGTTCAGTGTGTAAGATGACCCACTACGGCATGTGTAACAGTTCAGTGTGTAAGATGACCCACTACGGCACGTGTAACAGTTCAGTATGTAAGATGACCCACTACGGCATGTGTAACAGTTCAGTGTGTAAGATGACCCACTACGGCACGTGTAACAGTTCAGTATGTAAGATGAACCACTACGGCACGTGTAACAGTTATGTATGTAAGATGACCCACTACGGCACGTGGAACAGTTCAGTGTGTAAGATGACCCACTACGGCATGTGTAACAGTTCAGTATGTAAGATGACCCACTACGGCATGTGTAACAGTTCAGTATGTAAGATGACCCACTACGGCACGTGGAACAGTTCAGTGTGTAAGATGACCCACTACGGCATGTGTAACAGTTCAGTATGTAAGATGACCCACTACGGCATGTGTAACAGTTCAGTGTGTAAGATGACCCACTACGGCACGTGTAACAGTTCAGTGTGTAAGATGACCCACTACGGCATGTGTAACAGTTCAGTGTGTAAGATGACCCACTACGGCACGTGTAACAGTTCAGTATGTAAGATGACCCACTACGGCATGTGTAACAGTTCAGTGTGTAAGATGACCCACTACGGCACGTGTAACAGTTCAGTATGTAAGATGACCCACTACGGCACGTGTAACAGTTATGTATGTAAGATGACCCACTACGGCACGTGGAACAGTTCAGTGTGTAAGATGACCCACTACGGCATGTGTAACAGCTCAGTATGTAAGATGATCCACTACGGCACGTGTAACAGTTCAGTATGTAAGATGACCCACTACGGCATGTGTAACAGTTCAGTATGTAAGATGACCTACTACGGCACGTGTAACAGTTCAGTGTGTAAGATGACCCACTACGACACGTGTAACAGTTCAGTGTTTAAGATGACCCACTACGGCACGTGTAACAGTTCAGTATGTAAGATGACCCACTACGGCACGTGTAACAGTTCAGTATGTAAGATGACCCACTACGGCACGTGTAACAGTTCAGAATGTAAGAATGAACCACTACGGCACGTGTAACAGTTATGTATGTAAGATGACCCACTACGGCACGTGTAACAGTTCAGTATGTAAGATGACCCACTACGGCACGTGTAACAGTTCAGAATGTAAGATGACCCACTACGGCATGTGTAACAGTTCAGTATGTAAGATGACCCACTACGGCACGTGTAACAGTTCAGTATGTAAGATGACCCACTACGGCACGTGTAACAGTTCAGTGTGTAAGATGACCCACTACGGCACGTGTAACAGTTCAGTATTTTAGATGACCCACTACGACACGTGTAACAGTTCAGAATGTAAGAAAGACCCATTACGGCACGTGTATAAGTTCAGTATGTAAGATGACCCACTACGACACGTGTAACAGTTTAGAATGTAAGATGACCCACTACGGCGACTATTATCAGACCACCTTCATATAGCAGGAATATTGCTGAGTGCGGCGTTAAACAACAAACAAACAAATGTATCTAACCAAGTCCTTTATTGTATCATGTTATCATATAGCGACCACCGTGAGCACTGTTTGCGTAATCAGTATAATAGACTACTATAGTACCTGTAATTTGTACCGTGTGTATTTCAGTACATCACTCAGATGGTATTCTGTATTCTGACGCTCGTCATCACGGGGATCATCTTCATCATCTGTGTGCTGGCCCTGGGTGCATTCGCTGCGGCGGACGCCGGAAACTGCCGGTCCGTCGGAAGCACCTGTGTGTGCGGGTAAGAATCCCTCGTCTTTAACCAATAGGTTAATACAGTGTACAACGGAACCTTACATGCGCGCGCGCGCGCGCGCGTGTGTGTGTGTGTGTGTGTGTGTGTGTGTGTGTGTGTGCGCGTGTGTGTGTCTGTCTGTCTGTCTGTCTGTCTGTCTGTGTCTCTCTCTCTCTGACTCTCTTTCTCACTCTGTGTGTGTGAGGGGGGCGGTCGGGTAGCCTAGTGGTTAAAGCGTTCGCTCGTCACGCCGAAGACCCGGGTTCGATTCCCGACATGGGTACAATGTGTGAAGCCCATTTCTGGTGTCCCCCTGCCGTGATATTGCTGGAATATTGCTAAAAGCGGCGTAAAACCATACTCACTCACTCACTGTGTGTGTGAGAGACCGTGCGTGCTATATTTTATGTGCGTTTCAATAAACGCATATCCTAACTAATACGGTCGCTATGAGGTTTAATATAGAGTACAATAATGTTAAATGTCTCTGAGATTTGTGAAGTTTTATATGAGGTGTAGCAACCAAACACTCTGAAGCATAATTATTTCAAGCCTTTTCTGGGACAATGTATTTTTTTCGATAAAATCACAGGCACCATATGGTCGGTCCCCCATAGAGATACACGTACGTGTAATGCGATGTTCCTGTTGCTTGGTATTGTGGCAGGTTCGGTTTCCTGAAGCACAATACATTAACACCTTACTATGTGTGTGTGTGTGTGTGTGCGTGCATGCGTGCGTGCGTTAGCGTTTGTGTGTTTGAACCCACTTTTTACCACCGATTTTTTTTTTAAAACAATTTTTCACTTGGAAATTTTTATCAACCCCACTGCCCATTCGCCAACGTCTGCATATACTGAGGGGCAAAAGAAAGTATACCTAGTTTGTATTTATGTTATTGAAAATTGAAAGTACTGTTGTTACATTTGATTCGGTCTTTGTAACCATCACTCGTTCCTGCAACAGTTGAAAAAAGGTAATCTGTGGCTGCGTAATTGTGTGTAAAAATAAATTGGTTCAATGAAGATTGGGTTCAGAAATCAATGTGCAACCACATGACCCCTATCGTGTTTGAAATGTTGTATATTTGTGCCGAAAAAAAGCAAATTAATTTATTTTCTTACATTCCCAACAGCAGTTATGCTTAATGTTTAATATTTAAAAGTTTTAAATGTCAAATTATGTCTTTAAAAATAGAACCACGTAGACGTATTCTTTGAATGCTTGCTAAGCTTCAGAAAAAATCGGTTTTGGTTATACCATCGCTAACTCAAGATATTTTCAATTGAAAATCAAACATTATGATCAAATCATACTGAGTGGTATAGTTTCTTTTGCTCGTCAGTTACATAAAACATATTTGCTGCGAGACCGAATTTAGACTCAATATAATTTTATATACATTTGTTCAGATTTGTAATAAGTATTAAAGTTTTGGCTAAGATTCTGAGTGAGTGAGTATGGTTTTACGCCGCTTTTAGCAATATTCCAGCAATATCACGGCGGGGGACACCAGAAATGGGCTTCACACATTGTACCCATGTCGGGAATCGAACCCGGGTCTTCGGCGTGACGAGCGAACGCTTCAACCACTAGGCTACCCGACCGCCCCCGCTAAGATTCTGAATCAGTCCCATAGATAACATTGGACATGAGCATGGCACGTTCTCTCTTCCCACAACCCCTGAACTAAATATTACTATTGACTTAATAATTGTACTGGGTACAATGTGTGAAGCCCATTTCTGGTGTCCCCCGCCGTGATATTGCTGGAATATTGCTAAAAGCGGCGTAAAATCAAACTCACTCACTAATAATTGTACAATCTCCGTAATTGCCGAAACAATTTGTCTGATCATATCCTTATGTCGGGTTTTGTTCTTTCTTTAACAGGACTTTTGCCCTCCCCAACAGCAACTACTCCTGTGAAGACCTCAACGCTATCAACGGCATGGCAATCGGCATCGTTGTGATGGTCGTGGTTGGCTGGATAATGACTCTCGTCGCCACCATCCTAGGCGGGATGCTTGCATGCGCACGAGAGGTACTAAATAGTCAAGTGTGATTGAGTGAGTGAATGTTGTTTAAAGATGCAGGCATCAAACCACGGCGAGCACACTAAACCAGTAACAGCATAATCGGAAATGAGGTGTAGTTGTTTCTGTTATTTTATTATAATATTTTTTGATAATTATTTATTATAATCGAGACCGCCTCCGTGCTCTTGTGGTAGAGCGTCCGCCCGGAGAGCGGAAGGTCCGGGGTACGATCCCCGGCCGCGTCATACTCAAAGACGTTAGAATATGGTCCTTGTTGTGACCCTGTCTGACGCTCGGCTCTAAAACAAGGACTGGTCGGCTCGGAGTCAGTATACTGTGTTGAAGTGGGGTATTCATGTTAAACTGCGGCATGGTATCTCAGTGGGCTAGCACTATAAATCGGCATCAGTCCGGACTAGTACAATCAGACACACACACACGTGCATGCACGTCGCTATATAAGTGCCAAAATCTTGGACGCGACGTTAAACCCAATTTCACCTCACCTCACCTCACCTATTATAATCATTATGTTTTCTGTATATTTTAAAGTTAAATGTAAAACTGTAAATTAATATAGCATGTTTTGTTTCAGGAGACCCAGCCAGGTTTTGTAATTCAACCCAATCCAGGCGTCACGGTCCAGATGGGGAACATGCCGCCACAGCAATACGGGCAACAGGCGTACAGCCCGCAACAGGCGTACAGCCCGCAACAGCCTTACTACGGCCAACAGTATGCACAAAAAATGTAACCTTCCACCATAGGATGGCATCTTCCCGAGGCAAGGGCGTTAACTGACTATACAAGTCCAGTTTCAAAATCTTCCCGAGGCAAGGGAGTTAACTGACTATACCCTTGCCGAACTAGGCTGGAATTCCGGAGTTACATTTTGGCTGGACTAACGAGTCTTTGCATAGTCCAATCAAAATCGAGTGACGAAGTAGACATTTTAACGTGCAGAATTCGGTCGACTGCATGATTTGAAAAGCCTGTGTATCGTCAACTGGGTATAGACAGATATTTTGCATATCTTTTCATGTTTTGAATCCAGGTGCTTAAGTGATTTGATGCACCTCGGAGGTTTAGTCCCGTTTTATTACAATATAGATCTTGATTATCGTCTTCACTGGGCACCGCCATTTTGTTTGAAGCAGATGCAAGTGATATGAGAGATGGAATCTGATTGGTCAATAAGAGGGACATAGAAGGGATAAAACTCGTAATAGCAACCTGTGGCGGTACGATCGAACCTGAAATTCCAGCCTAGTTCGGTAAGAGTGGAAACTAGACAGTCAGTTAACGCCCTTGCCTCGAGAAGATGCAGGAGGGGTGTAAGCTTTGACATGACTCAATGGCACCGATGATCATTGATGTGAATATCAAGACAAGCGAGACATTCTTTCATTTGATACAGATCTACTGACAGTATCGTTAAGATCGCTTTATCACTGTTATCATTTTCATATTATTTTAGTTTATACATTGAATGTTTATGTTATAGCCTTTGACGTTTTTGGGATGGTTTATGTCATATACACACCATCTGTTTGTACAGAGAACACGAAGAAGTGACCACTGTTTACGATGGTGGCAATGTATATTTGTTATTGACGTATACATTTTCATACCGATGAGGTTTTGTCCCTGCTGAAACTCTCAAACTTTAACATACCACGTGACTTTTATTATATTATAAGCGTTATATTTCCAGATTAGGAACGGTTAGGAGGTTTATATATTAATACACAAGGAAGGGTGACCGTAACCAATAACTGATGACGTGGAAACTCTACATACTTTCAGGAAACAGGCAGATCCAGGGTAGTGAAAAAGAAGTCACAAAGGTGTCTGAAATTATCCCCCATAATGCACTGTATCTGTTCATCCCCGTCCGCCTCTCATCAGTGTAGGGGGCACGGGTGGCCCAGTCGTCTAAGGCGCCGCGATTCGCTGATTCGAGTTGCGCCCCTTGGACACGCCAGAAACCTCAGGTTGTGGGTTCGAATCCCGGTTCGCCCCAATTATGTTTCTTGGTTTGTCAGCACCATACCCGTGCTCGGGGGTTTCACCGAAGTGGAAAACCTCTGAGACCTGCATCACTTCGGGCTTTCCTCCCACATTAAGCTGACACGCCGTGATATAACTGGAATACTGTTAAAAGCGGCGTTAAACCCAACTCACTCACTCACTCTCATCAGTGTATTGTCGCCAAGTACCAACAGATGAAGACTGTTTTTATGTGTCTCCCTGTCGTGCTTTACCTGATGAAATACACTACACGTAGTCCTACAACACCCATGCTTCACGTGACCCACACACGATGTACATTCATGCCTTAAACAGTTTGTTACAAAAATAACATACAAAAATAAAATGGCTTCCGCCGAATTCAATCCCCTCTACAGGCTGCTAAACTTTTCAAATATGTTTTCTGATATGTATTTTATACAAAGATGTTGTTTTTGAAGTTTCAACGCGTGGAGGTTTTATGGCATTTTGTTGGTGTGAGCAGGAATGGTCCGTTCTATTGCAGCAACCCTGCATCCACGGACTTCATATTCAACCTTTGACACGTGTCGACGTCTTGTTTCGTGTAGTGTTTTCTGTACACAAAGTGTTCCTGAAATGTAAAATGTATGTTCATAATTGATTTACAGTGCTTTGCTATTTCATTGATGGATCTTATATATTTTCCTAAACCTCTTTTTATCAGACTGTATTGGTGTAAAACCAAAACGCACTTGATAACATGTTACCATCTGAAATATTATTTTCTATACATATACAGCGGAATAGTGTCACATTCTCGTATCATCTGTCTGTTTAGTACTTAAGCCCAATATTATTACTCTTGGGACTGTGAATATTGCATATGTAGAAATTCTATAGATAATTGAAACGACACGGAAGAGAATTTATTGACGTCAACTTTTTGTTATTATGGGGAACGTCACGTTTCAGAGTACATGCTTACTCTTTCATCAGGTGAGTAGCGAGAAGTGAGGGTACACTCCGAAACATTGCGTTCCTCATAATAAATATTTGTTTGTTTTGTTTGTTGTTTAACGCCGCACTCAGCAATATTCCAGCTTAATGACGGCGGTCTTCATATATAAGAGTGTGGACCAGACAATCCAGTGCTTGACATCATGAGCATCGATCCCCGCAATTGGGATCAATGACATGCATCAACCAAGTCAGTGAGCCTGACCACCCGATCCCGTTAGTCGCCTCTTACGACAAAAGTTGACATCCATAAATTCTCTTCCTTATGTGTATCACTTATAAATGCCTTTCAAAGGCTTAATAGGTACGACGATTTCAAATGCCTAACATGTGTAATTTTGCTGTTGGAATATATTGAAGCCTGATCCAGTGCCTTTTCCCCGCTGCTGTCGGACGGCGTGGGGCACCATGTATGTCTCATCACCCACATCAGATGAAGTGAATGCAATAAGTCTTTTCCATGTCTTACCATGAGCAAGTTCAAGTATTATTTGCAACTGAACTGTTTCAGCGCTGTTCCCCAAACGTCTATATTCTTATAGCGTCCATCAGTTAAGTGTTCTCGTGGTCAGAACGCATAATATTAGACTATGCATCTCAGCGGTTTTGTCTTTCTTGTTTATTTTTGAAAATAAAACATTTTTTTTTTCACGTTCTTGAGGCTATTTTTTTCTTAACAAAGGCAACTATACTTTCATTAAGCAAATGCCATCAGTGATAACCGACATGAATAATGACTGAGGTGTTGTTTTAGGCCGCAATATTCCTGCAATATAGGAGGATTAACCAAGTGGTTAAAGCGTTGTCAGTTGGAGATCTGTTCTACCCTTGTTATCCCACAGGGCCAGCTGATGCATCAAGTATGGGATACGGGGGCCAGTTCTACCCTTGTTATCTCACAGGGCCAGCTGATGCATCATGCATGGAGTACTGGGGTCAGTTCTACCCTTGTAATCCCACAGTCCCAGCTGATGCATCAAGTATGGGGTACTGGGAGCCAGTTCTACCCTTGTAATCTCACAGGACCAGCTGATGCATCAAGTATGGGGTACATGGGACCAGTTCTACCCTTGTTATTCCACAGGGCCAACTGACGCATCAAGTATGGGGTACTGGGGGCCAGTTCTACCCTTGTAATCCCACAGAGCCAGCTGATGCATCAAGTATGGGGTACTGGGGGCCAGTTCTACCCTTGTAATCCCACAGGGCCAGCTGATGCATCAAGTATGGGTTACTGGGGACCAGTTCTACCCTTGTAATCCCACAGGGCCAGCTGACGCATCAAGTATGGGGTACTGGGGGCCAGTTCTACCCTTGTAATCCCACAGGGCCAGCTGATGCATCAAGTATGGGTTACTGGGGACCAGTTCTACCCTTGTAATCCCACAGGGCCAGCTGACGCATCAAGTATGGGGTACTGGGGGCCAGTTCTACCCTTGTAATCCCACAGAGCCAGCTGATGCATCAAGTATGGGATACGGGGGCCAGTTCTACCCTTGTAATCCCACAGGGCCAGCTGACGCATCAAGTATGGGATACGGGGGTCAGTTCTACCCTTGTAATCCCACAAAGTCAGCTGATGCATCAAGCATGGGGTACTAGGGACCAGTTCTACCCTTGTAATCCCACAGGGCCAGCTGATGCATCAAGTATGGGGTACTAGGGACCAGTTCTACCCTTGTTATCCTACAGGGCCAGCTGATGTATCAAGTATGGGATACGGGGGCCAGTTCTACCCTTGTTATTCCACAGGGCCAGCTGATGCATCAAGTATGGGGTACCGGGGGCCAGTTCTACCCTTGTAATCCCACAGGGCCAGCTGATGCATCAAGTATGGGGTACTAGGGACCAGTTCTACCCTTGTTATCCTACAGGGCCAGCTGATATATCAAGTATGGGATACGGGGGCCAGTTCTACCCTTGTTATTCCACAGGGCCAGCTGATGCATCATGCATTGGGTACTGGGGTCAGTTCTACCCTTGTTATCTCACAGGGCCAGCTGATGCATCAAGTATGGGTTACTGGGGGCCAGTTCTACCCTTGTTATCCCACAGAGCCAGCTGATGCATCATGCATTGGGTACTGGGGTCAGTTCTACCCTTGTAATCCCACAGTCCCAGCTGATGCATCAAGTATAGGGTACATGGGACCAGTTCTACCCTTGTTATTCCACAGGGCCAGCTGATGCATCAAGTATGGGGTACTGGGGGCCAGTTCTACCCTTGTAATCCCACAGGGCCAGCTGATGCTTCAAGTATGGGATACAGGGGTCAGTTCTACCCTTGTAATCCCACAGAGCCAGCTGATATATCAAGTATGGGATACGGGGGCATGTTCTACCCTTGCAATCCCACAGGGCCAGCTGATGCATCAAGTATGGGATACGGGGGCCAGTTCTACCCTTGTAATCCCACAAGGCCAGCTGATATATCAAGTATGGGATACGGGGGCCAGCTCTACTCTTGTTATTCCACAGGGCCAGCTGATACATCAAGTATGGGGTACGGGGGCCAGTTCTACCCTTGTAATCCCACAGGGCCAGCTGATGCATCAAGTATGGGATACGGGGGTCAGTTCTACCCTTGTAATCCCACAAAGTCAGCTGATGCATCATGCATGGGGTACTAGGGACCAGTTCTACCCTTGTAATCTCACAGGGCCAGCTGATGCATCAAGTATGGGGTACTAGGGACCAGTTCTACCATTGTTATCCTACAGGGCCAGCTGATATATCAAGTATGGGATACGGGGGCCAGTTCTACCCTTGTTATTCCACAGGGCCAGCTGATGCATCAAGTATGGGGTACCGGGGACCAGTTCTACCCTTGAAATCCCACAGTGCCAGCTGATGCATCAAGTATGGGGTACTGGGGGCCAGTTCTACCCTTGTAATCCCACAGGGCCAGCTGATGCATCATGCATTGGGTACTGGGGTCAGTTCTACCCTTGTAATCCCACAGAGCCAGCTGATGCATCAAGTATGGGGTACTGGGGCCAGTTCTACCCTTGTAATCCCACAGGGCCAGCTGATGCATCAAGTATGGGGTACTGGGGACCAGATCTACCCTTGTAATCCCAAAGGGCTAGCTGATACATTAAGTATGGGATACGGGAGCCAGTTCTACCCTTGTTATCCCACAGGGCCAGCTGATGCATCAAGTATGGGGTACTGGGGCCAGTTCTACCCTTGTAATCCCACAGGGCCAGCTGACACAGTACCCACACATAACTGTAATAATGAGAACTCACAAAAGTACAACTTGTTATTTGTGACACCTGGCCACACACGCTTACATTAAACAACTCATTCTTACAAATGCATACATGGCGATTTTCTTTATTAACAAGAAAGATAACAGTTATGGAAATAGTGCTTTTTTAGTCAGTGTTGTTTCTTCTTTGAAGAAGAGCCCACATGAGAGATGTTGTGTTACACAGCAAGTGTTGTGTGGTTGGCCTGCAGTGATGCCAGGATCCGCAGTTGGATATAACATTCCAGGATCCGCAGTTGGATATAACATTCCAGGATCCGCAGTTGGATATTACATCCCAAGATCCGCAGTTGGATATTACATCCCAAGATCCGCAGTTGGATATTACATCCCAGGATCCGCAGTTGGATATTACATCCCAGGATCCGCAGTTGGATATTACATCCCAAGATCCGCAGTTGGATATTACATCCCAGGATCCGCAGTTGGATATTACATCCCAGGATCCGCAGTTGGATATTACATCCCAAGATCCGCAGTTGGATATTACATTCCAGGATCTGCAGTTGGATATGACATCCGAAGATCCGCAGTTTGATATTACATCCAAGGATCCGCAGTTGGATATTACATCCAAGGATTCGCAATTGGATAATTCATTCCAGGATCCGCAGTTGGATATTACATCCAAGGATCCGCAGTTGGATATTACATTCCAGGATCCGCCGTTGGATATTACATCCCAGGATCCGCAGTTGAATATTACATCCCAGGATCCGCAGGGTGAATTCTTGATTCGTCCGATGAAAACCTTTCGGCCTTGCAAGTGGATTTCACAAAGGTAGTAAAAGTCTTTGCCTCCCGTACCAAGCGACCACGCGGTGCAAGGCTGTACAAACCAGCGATAAATCCAACTCGCGCAAACACAATTCATAATATACTGGTCACTGCATTGTTAAAATGTGCATTCCTGATGCAACTTTTAATAGAGAGCGAGAGAGAGAGAGAGTCTGTGTGTGTGTGATTGTGTGCTATATTTTATGTGCGCTTCAATAAGTTTGACTTGATCTCCTACCTGATATGGGGGTGAGTGAATATGGTTTAACGCCGCTTTTAGCAATATTCCAGCAATATCACGGCGGGGGACACCAGAAATGGGCTTCGCACATTGTACGAACCCGGGTCTTCGGCGTGAGGAACGAACGCTTTAACCACTAGGCTACCCGACCGCCCCTCTACCTGATATGGTCGCTATTAGATTTAATATGTTGTACAATGATGTAAAATGTCTCTGAGTATTCTGAAGTTTTATATGGGGTGTTGCAAGCAAACACTCTGAAGCATAACTGTTTTTTCAAGCATTTTCTGGGACAATGTATTTTTGGGGGATAAAATCCCAGGCATCACTCAGAATATCATGTGGTCGGTCCCTCATATATTAAACACGTACGTGTAATGCGATGTTCCTGTCGCTTGGTATTGTGGCAGGTTCGTTTTCCCGAAGCACAATACATTAACACCTTACCTGGATCTCAACATAAAAAAGTAGTCACGCTGATGTCACACTTGTCTTCTCATTCTGCAAACATGTATACGCGTATAATACCTTGGTGTTATTGACAGTGGGTATCTGTCATCAAGTATGTGCTGCAGAAGTATCCAGTGACTCAAGTAATGCATTATGTCTTTGGGAATTATGGGTCCGGATCAGAAGAGGTCCTCTGTACCTCATGATTGTCTCTCTGTGGGTGACTTCGGGTCAGAATAGATCCCAAGTACCTCATGATTGTCTCTCTGTGGGTGACTTCAGGTCAGAAGAGGTCCTCAGTACCTCATGATTGTCTCTCTGTGGGTTACTCCGGGTCAGAATAGGTCCCTGGTATCTCATGCTCGTCTCTCTGTGGGTGACTTCAGGTCAGAATAGGTCCCTGGTATCTCATGCTCGTCTCTCTGTGGGTGACTTCAGGTCATAATAGGTCCCTGGTATCTCATGCTCGTCTCTCTGTGGGTGACTTCAGGTCAGAATAGGTCCCCGGTATCTCATGATTGTCTCTCTGTGGGTGACTCCAGGTCAGAATAGGTCCCTGGTATCTCATGCTCGTCTCTCTGTGGGATCTCTGGGTTAGAATAGGTCCCCAGTACCTCATGCTCATCTCTCTGTGGGTGACTTCAGGTCAGAATAGGTCCCCAGTACCTCATGCTCGTCTCTCTGTGGGTGACTTCAGGTCAGCATAGGTCCCTGGTATCTCATGCTCGTCTCTCTGTGGGTGACTTCAGGTCAGAATAGGTCCCTGGTACCTCATGATTGTCTCTCTGAGGGTGACTCCGGGTCAGAATAGGTCCCCGGTATCTCATGCTCGTCTCTCTGTGGGTGACTCCGGGTCAGAATAGGTCCCTGGTATCTCATGATTGTCTCTCTGAGGGTGACTCCGGGTCAGAATAGGTCCCCGGTACCTCATGATTGTCTCTCTGTGGGTGACTCCAGGTCAGAATAGGTCCCCGGTATCTCATGCTCGTCTCTCTGTGGGATCTCTGGGTTAGAATTATTATAGGTCCCCAGTACCTCATGCTCGTCTCTCTGTGGGTGACTTCAGGTCAGAATAGGTCCCCAGTACCTCATGCTCGTCTCTCTGTGGGTGACTTCAGGTCAGAATAGGTCCCTGGTACCTCATGATTGTCTCTCTGAGGGTGACTCCGGGTCAGAATAGGTCCCCGGTATCTCATGCTCGTCTCTCTGAGGGTGACTCCGGGTCAGAATAGGTCCCCTGTATCTCATGATTGTCTCTCTGAGGGTGACTCCGGGTCAGAATAGGTCCCCGGTATCTCATGATTGTCTCTCTGAGGGTAACTCCGGATCAGAATAGGTCCCCGGTATCACCTGATTGTCTCTCTGTGTGTACTCCGGGTCAGAATAGGTCCCTGGTATCTCATGCTCGTCTCTCTGTGGGTGACTTCAGGTCAGAATAGGTCCCTGGTACCTCATGATTGTCTCTTATAGGGTGACTCCGGGTTAGAATAGGTCCCCGGTATCACCTGATTGTCTCTCTGTGTGTACTCCAGGTCAGAATAGGTCCCCGGTACCTCATGCTCGTCTCTCTGTGGGTGACTTCAGGTCAGCATAGGTCCCTGGTATCTCATGCTCGTCTCTCTGTGGGTGACTTCAGGTCAGAATAGGTCCCCGGTATCTCATGCTCGTCTCTCTGTGGGTGACTCCAGGTCAGCATAGGTCCCTGGTATCTCATGCTCGTCTCTCTGTGGGTGACTTCAGGTCAGCATAGGTCCCTGGTATCTCATGCTCGTCTCTCTGTGGGTGACTTCAGGTCAGCATAGGTCCCTGGTATCTCATGCTCGTCTCTCTGTGGGTGACTTCAGGACAGCATAGGTCCCTGGTATCTCATGCTCGTCTCTCTGAGGGTGACTTCAGGTCAGAATAGGTCCCCGGTATCTCATGCTCGTCTCTCTGTGGGTGACTTCAGGTCAGCATAGGTCCCTGGTATCTCATGATTGTCTCTCTGTGGGTGACTTCAGGTCTAAATAGGTCCCCAGTAGCTCATGATTGTCTCTCTGTGTGTACTCCAGGTCAGAATAGGTCCCCAGTACCTCATGATTGTCTCTCTGTGTGTACTCCGGGTCAGAATAGGTCCCCAGTACCTCATGATTGTCTCTCTGTGGGTGACTCCGGGTTAGAATAGGTCCCCAGTACCTCATGATTGTCTCTCTGAGGGTGACTCCGGGTCAGAATAGGTCCCCGGTACCTCATGATTGTCTCTCTGTGGGTGACTCCAGGTCAGAATAGGTCCCCAGTACACATAGTTGTATCTCTGTGGGTACTCCAGGTCAGAATAGGTCCCCAGTGGCTCATGCTTGTCTCTCTGTGGGATTTTTGGTCAGAACAGGTCCCCAGTAGCTCACGCTTGTCTCTCTGTGAGGTTTCTGGGTGAGAACAGGTCCCCAGTACCTCATGCTTGTCTCTCTGAGGTAAATGAATAGGTCAGAATTGGTCCCTTATGATAGACAATAGAACTCGCTACTTTAAGTAAATGTTGTTAGGGGCGAGCACACATAATTCTAATCACTTTCACACTTTACCATAACACATAGCTACCACAAATAACACTAGGCCTACTGTGTACGTACAATATCGACCTGATTCACGAGTATGCACTTCTGGGAATGGGAGTTATCTCCCTTACATCACTCCTCACCCTTCAGATTACTATCTAGTCATTTAGATGGTATGAAGGTTATTGAAGTGAATTAATGTTTATGAGTACACTAATAAAAGAATAGAATAGGTCCCTAGTACCTCATGATTGTCTCTCTGTGTGTAACTCCGTGTCAGAATAGGTCCCCAGTACCTCACGATTGTCTCTCTCTGTGTAACTCCGTGTCAGAATAGGTCCCCAGTACCCCATGATTGTCTCTCTGTGTGTAACTCCGTGTCAGAAAGGGTCCCTAGTACCTCACGATTGTCTCTCTCTGTGTAACTCCGTGTCAGAATAGGTCCCCAGCACCTCATGATTGTCTCTCTGTGTGTAACTCCGTGTCAGAAAGGGTCCCCAGTACCCCATGATTGTCTCTCTGTGTGTAATTCCGTGTCCGAATAGGTCCCTAGTACCTCATGATTGTCTCTCTGTGTGTAACTGCGTGTCAGAATAGGTCCCCAGTACCTCATGATTGTCTCTCTGTGTGTAACTCCGTGTCAGAATAGGTCCCCAGTACCTCATGATTGTCTCTCTGTGTAACTCCGTGTCAGAAAGGGTCCCTAGTACCCCGTGATTGTCTCTCTGTGTGTAACTCCGTGTCAGAAAGGGTCCCTAGTACCCCATGATTGTCTCTCTGTGTGTAACTCCGTGTCAGAAAGGGTCCCCAGTACCCCATGATTGTCTCTCTGTGTGTAACTCCGTGTGAGAAAGGGTCCCCAGTACCCCATGATTGTCTCTCTGTGTGTAACTCCGTGTCAGAATAGGTCCCCAGTACCTCATGATTGTCTCTCTGTGTGTAACTCCGTGTCAGAAAGGGTCCCCAGTACCTCATGATTGTCTCTCTGTGTAACTCCGTGTCAGAAAGGGTCCTTAGTACCCCATGATTGTCTCTCTGTGTGTAACTGCGTGTCAGAATTGGTCCCCAGTACCCCATGATTGTCTCTCTGTGTGTAACTCCGTGTCAGAAAGGGTCCTTAGTACCCCATGATTGTCTCTCTGTGTGTAACTGCGTGTCAGAATTGGTCCCCAGTACCCCATGATTGTCTCTCTGTGTGTAACTCCGTGTCAGAATAGGTCCCTAGTACCCCATGATTGTCTCTCTGTGTGTAACTCCGTGTCAGAAAGGGTCCCTAGTACCCCATGATTGTCTCTCTGTGTGTAACTCCGTGTCAGAAAGGGTCCCTAGTACCCCATGATTGTCTCTCTGTGTGTAACTCCGTGTCAGTAAGGGTCCCCAGTACCCCATGATTGTCTCTCTGTGTGACTCCGTGTCAGAAAGGGTCCCTAGTACCCCATGATTGTCTCTCTGTGTGTAACTCCGTGTCAGAAAGGGTCCCTAGTACCCCATGATTGTCTCTCTCTGTGTAACTCCGTGTCAGAAAGGGTCCTTAGTACCCCATGATTGTCTCTCTGTGTGTAACTCCGTGTCAGAAAGGGTCCTTAGTACCCCATGATTGTCTCTCTGTTTGTAACTCCGTGTCAGAAAGGGTCCCTAGTACCCCATGATTGTCTCTCTGTGTGTAACTCCGTGTCAGAAAGGGTCCTTAGTACCCCATGATTGTCTCTCCATGTGGAAAGATCCCGGTTCGGAATAGGTCCCATATAAAGTATCTCTTGCTTGCTGAGGGTGACTCCGGATGAGAAGAGGTTTTGACTACATATGTAAATATTGTGTTGCCTAGATAAGCCTTAACAAAATGAGATTTATAAAAAACCAAAATGAATTATTGTCCTCTGTCGTCTATTTAAATGTGAATAAAGTATTGTCTCTAACAAATATAGATATTTTTTTCAAATTCATCGTTACTTAGAATATGTCGTGACTGTATAACTGGAGGACTGGATGTTCCGTTACAGGGGTGGAGGGGATATCAGCCGGGCGCAGTCACCCGCCATCAGTGTTGGTTTGAGCAGTAGTGCTCGTGCTGTTTGATTATTTGATGGTGCTACACTGATTCAAACATTTTTCATTAACAATCAAGGATTGGGAAAAAGTTAGGAGCTTACTCAATTCCTTCCTTTTCTAAAGACCGCCTCCGTGGTCTAGTGGTAGAGCGTCTGCCCGGAGAGCGGAAGGTCGCGATCGGGGGTTCGATCCCCGGCAGCGTCAGAATGTACATATTACCCTGCCTGGCGCTCGGTATTAGTGGCTGAAATAAGGACTGATCGGCTCGGAGTCAGTATACTGTGTCTGAGTAGGGTATTCATGTAAATCTGCGGCATGGTATCTCAGTGGGCTGGCACTATGAACACGGCATTAGTCCTGACTAGTGCAAGCAGCCACACACACACACACACACGTCGCTATACCCTGATTGTGGTATTAGGTTTGTCAGCACCACACCCTGCTCGTGGGTTTCACCGGTGGTAAAGCGTCATATCGGGCTTTCCTCCGACATCAAGCTGAAACACCTTAATTTTACTGAAATACTGTTCAGAACAGCGTTAACCCAAACTCACCCACTCACTCAACAAAATAATGTTGATGAAGCCGTATTGTAGAACTGAATGACCTTTATATAAAACGTGAGAAGGATCATATAAAAATCTGAAAGCTAAGCTAACGATTTGCCTGTTGTACAGTTTGTTGTAGTTTTCAAAGCCACTAGATATTTATCCAACCAATTTAACGCTTTTCTTCTATTTATTCTTAGTTTGGAGTGATAGAGCCCCATAACAGCACTGTAGAGAAACAATATAAAATGTTATTTTTCAGTTAGCATACACGACATATTTAAGACACAAGATTCTTAATGATTGCCCAAACGGCCTGCACACCGACCCAATCAATTGTGACTGTGCCTGCACACTGCAAACATGCCCTCATGGTAAGACGCGTCACGCTCCACGAGTTCCACTATACATGACCCCGTGGAGTCATTCACGCCAGCCTTCCTGTCCATATGAGCAGACGACAGTTGACGGTCACGTGACATTCCAATGATTCAAAGGTGGGGCCTGTGTCAGTGAAAAGCTGGCGTTTGTGAGAAGTGAAACGTTACGTACAGAGTGAATACATGGTGGTTGTTTCAAGGTAGCTTCACTATGGCGTCCAGATCACGGACCAACATCTCTAATGGCGTCTTCTCCGGACTGATGATATTTTTTGGTGAGTTCAGTCAACGATCTGTCTTTGTGTGCAGTATGAACAACTCCAAACACACCGGCTAGTCCTGTTTACAAAGCCTACCTGTCGTGAAAATTCCAGTCACGGCATAGTCGGCCTATTTACATAATGTGTAATGCTATTCCAGGACAGGGTGACCTATTTCAGCATGTATTTACACAATGAAGAGTGAGGTAATTATAGAGTGTGACTCCTCACCTGTACACACGCATTATTTAGTATTGGTCGACTGCGTACCTGAAATAGAGTTAGGTCGATACCATATTTCACTTTGATTTTTCTGCTCAGATGTTGAGGTGAAGTACGACTCACATATAATATGTCACATCAAACAGGAACTGTGCGAGCTCACCTGAGCTCATTCATTGTTGTCGACTGTCAGGATGTCGCTAATAATAGCACTGGCAATGGCGGCTTGGACACTATGTCTCTCTTCAAGCTGAAAACGCCGTGATGGTTTAATCTCTTCATTTAATCATATTCCGATATTACAGTATTGTCGTTGACGTCACCGTCTCATTTGAAAGTACACCCATCCATCTACCTTTATTCGCCAGAGAAGTGTTGACATGCCCCCTTGTTGTAGGTATCGCGTTCGCCCTGCTCGTCTATTTCCTCTTTCACACCATATCGCTGTCGACCTTCGACTACACGGGGCTCCAGGTTCGAACCGCCGACTTTAGAGGTCATGCCTACCTTGCATCTTCATCCATGTGGGCCATTGGTTTTATTGTAAGTATGACTTGTGGATAACTAGCTTAATCGAAGACAATACATATAAACTTGAACTTAAATAATAGTATATTGTTGCATACGAAGTATTATTTTAATTGAATAAAAACATATTTACCTGAAATTGTGTATATTCACAAGATAAACCAGTTTAATAGAAGACAAAATTCTTTCGGGATGCAATTTTCGCATTTGCCTTTGGATAACAGTATTTGACACGTTTGAAAAATGCAAAGTACAACTGTAATACTGTATTCAATTAATCAAAAAATAAATTGTATTTGTCTGACATTGTGTATCGATTTCTTGATGATGACATATACTATTGTCAACCTACTATTGCAGTACATGATCCCGGGAGTGGTGGGCGTCGTATCCACAGTCCTCCGGTTCAAATGGCTTGTAAGTATCAAACCCGGAAGTAAGGTCCGAAGATAATATTTGATTAACCACTATTCCTTTCATGACATTAACGCATATATGTTATAATGTTTACGTTTACACAAGCTACCAATCCTGTCTTTTGAATGACCTTATCGTCTTTCTTTTACATTTAATCATTGAGAGACATATCATATACACTTAGTATGAATGCCGAATTCCTGGAATAGTGTCTCTTTCATACTCATCATATATGCTACTCAAAAGAAGTTAAAGAACACACGAATTCATATGACGATTGTTAATCTGACATTAACCTCTTTTGAGTACTATATTATGTAGTACGTCTGTCCTATACGAACAATAAACTCCACAGACTTAATAAAGCGACAAAACCCTTTCCATATCCAGGGGCACTGTTGGCCCAGTCGTCTAAGGCGCCGCGATTCGCTGTGCAGAGTTGCGTCCCCTTGACACGCCAGAAACCTATGATTGTGGGTTCGAATCCCGGTTCACCCCGATTATGTTTCTAGGTTTGTCAGCACCATACCCGTGCTCGTGGGTTTCACCGAAGTGGTAAACGTCTGAGACCTGCATTACTTCGGGCTTTCCTCCCACATTAAGCTGACACGCCGTGATATAACTGGAATAATGTTAAAAGCGGCGTTAAACCCAACTCACTCACTCACTCACTCACTTTCCATATCCAACAGAAATCTCTGCATAAAGCAGAGTTGATTTACAATTCCGACTATATTATGAGCATTTGTTTATGAATAACTATCAAATAGTAATGATACCAGGTGTTCGCGAAAAGGTCCGCAAACACATGCAAAGGCAAGTTAATTGTTCACCAGAAAATACGGGAACATATGGCACGAATCCAAATAGCGAATTGCATCGGATCTTGAATGTTGTAACCTTCATCAAACAACTTCTGAGCATGAGTCGTATGACGCTGTTTGGAAATTTTGTTAGAAAGAGCGTGCTCGATTGTATCTCAGAAGTTGAAAGCATGGAGCTGCTGGAATATTGCTCGACATGAAGGGAAAGTTGACTTTTGGAAAGTTGAAGTCATCCCTCTTGTCATACAGTCTTGTGGAGAGTGCTTTGTCACCCTGAATGCATAGATCTAAACATGAAATAGTTGAGGCGGTCTCACTTGTCTCCATTATTTCTAGTTCAAGTAGGTAAATTAGTGGAAGGAAATTGGCTATTTGATTGTTATTGAACGATATCAGATCATCGATATACCTGAAGCTTAAATTAAACTTCTTGGCCAAATTACCTTGTTCTGACTTTGCCAATCCGAACAGAAATTCGATTAACGTGCACAAAGAAACAGATCCACAAGAAGGGGGGGGGGGGGGGGGGGGGGGGGGGGGCACAATGTGTGCCCATGGGGGTGCCTACCTCTTGCCTAAATATGTTAACCCCAAATGTTACGTAAATATATTACCCCCAAACTTTACGTAGATGTTATCATCAATGTAATATATATACTTCAGTCAAAATATATATACATTGATATGCACTATATGGATTTGATCGCGGAACGCCGATGGGACGTTACCTTTTTTCTTAATCGACCATTTACACCCCACCCACATGTTATATTCGTGTTTACACATGCTTGGCGTTTGTTTCAGTATATCATCCAGCTGGTACTCTGTGTCCTGACTCTTCTCGCCATGACTGGAGTATTCATCGCCAGTGTCATTCTGGTGCATTACTACACAGCTGAGTATGATACGACAGGATGCCAGACCATTTACGGCACGTGTGTGTGCAGGTGGGTAATCACGTGGCCTCTTCAAGTGAAGTGGCATTTTGTTTGTTGTTTCGAAAACTGCTTTTTAGACACTTTTTTCTTATATTGAGGGTTGTGTTTTGTGCTATAATATGGCCCCAGTTACTGTACGTAATGAAACAAGGACGTTGTAAAATGCTTGCTCTATAATCATGAGCATACGTCACGTGCATTTACCATGACGAAGGCATGCTTCCTTTTGTTTGACAATTTTATTTCTCTACAACGTAACAGTGATATTAAGAAATAGGGTTGATATAGACCAGATACGTCTTAAAGAAATTTTGAAACGAGGAAACTGTTATAAAATATGTTTTTGCATGTACCTACTTTTATATTCGGTAGTTGATCGTGGGCTCCGATTTCAGTTCAGTTCCTGACTTTTCTGTCCCTGATTCATCGCGCAGGAGGAATGTTAATTTTTTGCCGTTTTATCAGAACCTCGAGGAACCCCGGCACCCTAAGTAAAGGCGACGTTTCGGTATAGATCCTTAATGTACCGTTGTCAAGTAAGACTGACTTTAGAGTAATTGATGAAGTTTGTTATCGTAAATTGTGTCTACTTTGATAACTGATACACATTTCAAAGTGGCGTTAGCTTGACGTACAGTACACTGATTCACTCCCTTGTCTTACAGTACAGTCCTCTACAGCAGCCTGAACTATACGTGTCTGGACATCGACATCATACGCTCCACCGCAATCGGCAGCGTGGTCATGATAGTCTTTGGCTGGCTGTGTACCCTGGCGGCCACCATCTTGGGTGGGATGCTTTCCTTCTTCCTTGAGGTGAGTCAACATATATCTGAATTGGGGTCATATACAGCTGAATACATCCTTGTATTGGGGTTCAGATAGAGCTGTATACATCCTTGTATTGGGATTCAGATACAGCTTTATACATCCTTGTATTGGGGTTCAGATACAGCTACATACATCCTTGTATTGGGGTTCATATACAGCTACGTACATCCTTGTATAGGGGTTCAGATACAGCTACATACATCCTTGTATTGGGGTTCAGATACAGCTACATACACCTTTGTATTGGGATTCAGATACAGCTTTATACATCCTTGTATTGGGGTTCAGATACAGCTACATACATCCTTGTATTGGGGTTCATATACAGCTACGTACATCCTTGTATTGGGGTTCAGATACAGCTACATACACCTTTGTATTGGGGTTCAGATACAGCTACATACACCCTTGTATTGGGGTTCAGATACAGCTACATACATCCTTGTATTGGGGTTCAGATACAGCTACATACATCCTTGTATTGGGGTTCAGATACAGCTACATACATCCTTGTATTGGGGTTCATATACAGCTACGTACATCCTTGTATTGGGGTTCAGATACAGCTACATGCATCCTTGTATTGGGGTTCATATACAGCTACGTACATCCTTGTATTGGGGTTCAGATACAGCTACATACATCCTTGTATTGGGGTTCATATACAGCTACGTACATCCTTGTATTGGGGTTCAGATACACCTACATACGTCCTTGTATTGGGGTTCAGATACAGCTACGTACATCCTTGTATTGGGGTTCAGATACAGCTACGTGTATCCTTGTATTGGGGTTCAGATACAGCTACGTACATCCGTGTATTGGGGTTCAGATACAGCTACATACATCCTTGTATTGGGGTTCAGATACAGCTACATACATCCTTGTATTGGGATTCAGATACAGCTACATACACCCTTGTATTGGGGTTCAGATACAGCTACATGCATCCTTGTATTGAGGTTCAGATACAGCTACATACATCTTTGTATTGGGGTTCTGATACAGCTACATACATCCTTGTATTGGGGTTCAGATACAGCTACGTACATCCTTGTATTGGGGTTCAGATACAGCTACGTGTATCCTTGTATTGGGATGAAGATAAACTGTATACAGCTGTATGCATCCTTGTTTGGGGTTCAGATACAGTTGTATTCATCTTTGTTTAGGGGTCACATACGGCTGTATGCATCCTTGTATAGGGGTTCAGATACAGCTACGTACATCCTTGTATTGGGGTTCAGATACAGCTACATACATCCTTGTATTTGGGTTCAGATACAGCTACATGCATCCTTGTATTGGGGTTCAGATACACCTACATACATCCTTGTATTGGGGTTCAGATACAGCTACATACACCCTTGTGTTGGGGTTCAGATACAGCTACGTGTATCCTTGTATTGGGGTTCAGATACAGCTACGTACATCCTTGTATTGGGGTTCAGATACAGCTACGTGTATCCTTGTATTGGGGTTCAGATACAGCTACGTACATCCGTGTATTGGGGTTCAGATACAGCTACATACATCCTTGTATTGGGGTTCAGATACAGCTACATACATCCTTGTATTGGGATTCAGATACAGCTACATACACCCTTGTATTGGGGTTCAGATACAGCTACATGCATCCTTGTATTGAGGTTCAGATACAGCTACATACATCTTTGTATTGGGGTTCTGATACAGCTACATGCATCCTTGTATTGAGGTTCAGATACAGCTACATACATCTTTGTATTGGGGTTCTGATACAGCTACATACATCCTTGTATTGGGGTTCAGATACAGCTACGTACATCCTTGTATTGGGGTTCAGATACAGCTACGTGTATCCTTGTATTGGGATGAAGATAAACTGTATACAGCTGTAATCGAAATATAACAACATTCCTCCTTGTTTCCAGGACTTCAAATCGAGTTCCAGCATATCCAAATCCCGGAGTAAAGAGGTAAAAATGAGCAACTCGGTCTATGACGAAGACCAGAACTCTCAACAAGAGCCATATTCCCGTCGATATGATTCAAGAGCTTAGCTCAAAACGCACGATTTGCGTTATTGTTCCATACTATTGAAGATCGTGGTATCTCACCCTTGTCTGTCATTGGAGAATCCATGACAGAATAGGTCCCCAGTACCCCCTGCTTGTAGTAGGAACGGACGTAATTGTACACAGCTTGTAAGGGCATGAAGACAACACTCCATAGTGCAAACATAGAGAATGTCACCCCAGTGTCGTTACATGTCCAATATATCAACATGAGTCAATAACAGTTTAAAACATTTCACACATTTTTTGATGAGTGTCAGACATCAAGGTAAAATTCTATTCATCATCCAAAATCATTCTTCAGACGTTTTCAGTTTGTAAACAGTAACAACCAGTTTCTTGAGTTTAAAGGTACAGCTAGCCAGCTACATTGGCTGAGAGATTAGTGATTTTCTTTTGATTGTGACTCAGCAATATTCCAGCTATATGACGGCGGTCTGTAAATAATCGAGTCTGGACCAGACAATCCAGTCATTAATATCATGAGCATCGACCTACGCAATTGGGATCGATGACATGCATCAACCAAGTCAGCGAGCCTTACAACCCGATCCCGTTAGTCACCTCTTACGATAAGCATAGTCACCTTTTACTGCAAGCATGGGTTGCGGGGACCTATTCATATCTCACGATTTGTTTAAAGTTTGTTTTTTTGTATCGATGACGACACATAAACCTTTTGTTTGTAGCATCATGGTACTTTTGTAACAATTGGTATTACTTTTTCATGTTGTATTTTAATGATTGCTTTTAAAATAATACATTGAAACGTCTGCAATTGAGGTTACCAGATGTTCTCACATTATGAATGTATGTTTTCAAATATGACATCGTCCACACCACAAAGTACAAATCTGGAACACTAACACTCAAAAATGCCGTGGTCTGACTTTGTTTCATTGTATTAACTCATCCATTAAAATCATTTTTTCAAAAGTAGAAATGTGTTTTCAAGAGTTTATGACCTCCACACTGCCTACGTTGCATCAGCCACGGGCAGTCTTACATGTGTCGGTCTTGCTTGCATGGGCCACTGGCGATGCTAAATTAGTCGGCCTGGCTTGCATGGGCCACTGGCGATGCTAAATTGGTCGGCCTGGCTTGCATGGGCCGCTGGCAGTGCTACATGTGTCTGCCTGTCTTGCATGGGCCACTGACGGTGCTATATGTCTAGGCCTAGCTTGCATGGGCCACTGTCGGTGCTATATGTCTAGGCCTAGCTTGCATGGGCCACTGTCGGTGCTACATGTGTCGGCCTGGCTTGCATGGGCCACTGACGGTGCTATATGTCTAGGCCTAGCATGCATGGGCCACTGACGGTGCTACATGTGTCGGCCTGTCTTGCATTGGCCACTGACGGTGCTACATGTGTCGGCCTGTCTTGCATGGGCCACTGACGGTGCTACATGTGTCGGCCTGTCTTGCATGGGCCACTGACGGTGCTACATGTGTCGGCCTGTCTTGCATGGGCCACTGACGGTGCTACATGTGTCGGCCTGTCTTGCATGGGCCACTGACGGTGCTATATGTGTCGGCATGTCTGACATGGGCCACTGAAGGTGCTACATGTGTCGGCCTGTCTTGCATGGGCCACTGACGGTGCTATATGTCTAGGCCTAGCATGCATGGGCCACTGACGGTGCTACATGTGTCGGCCTGTCTTACATGGGCCACTGACGGTGCTATATGTGTCGGCCTGACTTACATGGGCCACTGACGGTGCTATATGTGTCGGCATGTCTTGCATGGGCCGCTGGCAGTGATACATGTGTCTGTCTGTCTTGCATGGGCCACTGGCGGTGCTATATGTTTAGGCCTAGCTTGCATGGGCCACTGTCGGTGCTATATGTCTAGGCCTAGCTTGCATGGGCCACTGTCGGTGCTACATGTGTCGTCCTGGCTTGCATGGGCCACTGGTTGTGCTACATGTGTCGGCCTGGCTTGCATGGGCCACTGACGGTGCTATATGTGTCGGCGGGGCGTGCACCTGGTATGAGCCTGGCGTTCGGATATACAGCTGCATGCCTACTTGTACTGGGGTTCAGATACACAGCTGTATACATATCCTAGTATTTGGGTAAATGTGAAAATTCAATTGAATCATGATGCCAATTTTACAGTACAGCTGTGATGAAAATCAATATAAACAACATTCCTCCCTGTTTCCAGGACTTCAAATCAAGTTCCAGCATATCCAAATCTCGAAGCCAAGAGGTTTACATGACCAACCTGGCCTACGATGAAGATCGGAATTCTCAACAAGAGCCATATTCCCGTCGATATCATTCAAAAGCTTAGCCCAAAACGCACGATTTGCGTTATTGTTGGGTACTGTTGAAGATCCCGGTATCACCATTCTTGTCTCTCACTGGAAAATCCATGGTAGAATAGGTCCCCAGCTCCTGTATAAGGAACGGACGTACATTGTAATTGGATACAGCTGGTTATGAGTGGGGCATAGAGACAACACTTCATAGTGCAAACATAGAGAATGTCACCCGAGTGTCTTTTCATATCCAATATATCAACATGAGTCACTAACAGTTTAAAACTGCGAGGCCTGCTAAGGAATTATAACCTTTTGTTGACAGTTTGACGTGAGGGTAAAATTCTATTTATCATCTAAAATCATTCTTCCAACTTTTTCATTTTGTAAACAGTAACAACCAGTTTCTTTAGTGTAAAAGTATAACTGACAAGTTTCAGTGGCTGAGAGATTAGTGATGTCATTTGTTTGTAATGTCATTGTTTTAGATAATAACATCCCACCTATCATGTCAATCGAAATCTGGCTGCCACATTTTCATATCCACACATTGTTATTCGGCTAACTTGGATCGAAGCAAAATGAACGGTTCTCACGCGAATATGCCCCTAATACCTTATTGTCCTTACCTTGACTAACCGCAAAGCTAAAAGTTGAAGGTAACCGCAATACCTTTACACCAAACTCCATCGCTTGGCAGCCTGAGGACGAACAACCGTCGAATTAAGAAATAAACGATACGTGGTCGTTGGTTTCGTACAATCAAACACTGCAGTGTTTGATTGTACGATAAACAACGCGTGTTCATTCTCCTTGCAGTGTTTTATCGTACGGTAACCAACGACCATGAGTCGTTTATTTCTAAAATGAGATATCAACATCATGTACAGCCTCTTTAAGGATGTTGATAAAATGTACAAGTGTATTTACCTCAATATTGATAATGATGATTTCCTGAATAGAGTCCGAATGTGTAAATAATGCATAGAAATGGAGTTTAAAAGAGTGTTCTTGTTCCTGACACAAACTTTCGAAAATGACATCGTCCACACCACAGACTACAAACCTGGAATACTAACACTCAAAATGCTGTGATCTTTTTTTATTTCATTGTATTTACTCCTCCATTAAAATGATTTTTTCAAAAGTAGGTTTTTTGTTTTAAAGGGTTTATGACTCCCCCACTGTCTGTGATAAATTAGCCACTGGTGGTGCTATATGAGTCGGCCTGGCTTGCCCCTGTCACTGGCAGTGCTATATGAGTCGGCCTGGCTTGCACCTGTCACTGGCAGTGCTATATGAGTCGGCCTGGCTTGCACCTGTCACTGGCAGTGCTATATGAGTCGGCGTGGCTTGCACCTGTCACTGGCAGTGCTATATGAGTCGGCCTGGCTTGCCCCTGTCACTGGCAGTGCTATATGAGTCGGCCTGGCTTGCACCTGTCACTGGCAGTGCTATATGAGTCGGCCTGGCTTGCACCTGTCACTGGCAGTGCTATATGAGTCGGCCTGGCTTGTCCCGGTCAATGGCAGTGCTATATGAGTCGGCCTGGCTTGCCCCTGTCACTGGCAGTGCAATATGAGTCGGCCTGGCTCGCACCTGTCACTGGTGGTGCTATATGAGTCGGCCTGGCTTGCCCTGTCACTGGCAGTGCTATATGAGTCGGCCTGGCTTGCACCTGTCACTGGCAGTGCTATATGAGTCGGCCTGGCTTGCACCTGTCACTGGTGGTGCTATATGCGTCGTCCTGGCTTGCACCTGTCACTGGCGGTGCTATATGAGTCGGCCTGGCTTACCCCTGTCACTGGCAGTGCTATATGAGTCGGCCTCGCTTGCACCTGTCACTGGCGGTGCTATATGAGTCGTCCTGGCTTGCACCTGTCACTGGCGGTGCTATATGAGTCGTCCTGGCTTGCACCTGTCACTGGTGGTGCTATATGAGTCGGCCTGGCTTGCACCTGTCACTGGCAGTGCTATATGAGTCGGCCTGGCTTGCACCTGTCACTGGCAGTCACATGTGTCGACCTGACTTGTTTGTTTAGACTGTATCTTTGTTACATACGGTACAGCGACCCGAGATGAAATTGTATAATATACTACTCTTAGTTTGCTAAAGATCACCACTTGAAAGGGCAATACGTTCTATTGTGTGCATCTGTTGAAATTGCTTTGCACGAAAACAAATTCATTGTAGAAAGAAAACACCAACTGTCGTATGTGATCCACGTGAGTCGATCACAGCCTGGCACCGTCATCTCATGCTCCCAAAAAGTGTCTGGATGGTTGCCAAGGGAAGGTTGTTCCACTCTTCAGTAAGACCATTGCCGTGTTCCTTTAGAGTTGCCGGAAGAACAGGGCGTCGTGAGAGGGTGATCTGCAGCTCGTTCCAGATGTGTTCGATAAGGTTGAGGTCTGGCTGGCAACTCCGTGCGGACAGTGGTCTCCTGCTCTAAGTAGGCACCAACGACCCTGGTACGATGAGGTCGTGCGTTATCATTCATTGGGATCAAGTCCGACTCGATAGACCAGTATACGGTCTCACGTTCACATCCAGAATGTCATCCCTGTTTCGCACATCTGTCATCGTGCCCCACTGCAAGACATGGAGATCGGTTCTTCCAGCTCTACTGATCCCACCCCAAATCCTGACTGACCCTACACCATAGCGGTTTAAGTTGCAATCCTGAAAAATGTTACCTTGTCTACGCAACACTTCATCCGTGAAGTCTGGACAGTATCTCGATTCATAAGTGAAAAGTACTGGAGCCCAGTCCTCGTATGTCCGATTGACGTGATCTTCAACCCAATCCAAACTTGCCGGCCTGTAATGTCGGGTTAGTGGGATGCGAATGTTTGCCCTCCATGACCGGAGACCAACCTCACGGAGATTATTACGCACTGTCTGAGAAGAAACATTAGCGCCTCTGGCGTTCCGCAGGTCATTTATGAGTGTGGAGGCAGTCACGAATTTGTGACGTCTTGCAGCAACCAGGAGAAATCTCTCTAACCGCTGTTGGTGGAACGCTGTCGACCACCTGCATGTCGCTCGGTTGCTGACACAAATGTCTGGTATCGATGCCATGCCCTGCTGATCACACTTTGGCTGACACTCAAGACTCAGGTTCTCCCGTCTGGGACCCCTTTTCAATTTAATTGGAGTTATTGGTTTCTATCAAAATTAAATATTTTCAAAGACTAAGCGTTAGTCTATCGCGAGTACATGTATCAATAAGTTTATTTTTTCAACATGTTTATAGTACAAGAATCAAGTAAACAAATATACAAACATGTCAACAAGTAGCACCTACACGTCACATTCGTCACCACTCGCCCCTTTCCGTAACCTGCAAGAAGACTCGTCCCCCTATCGATGAATGTTATGTGTGAAAATGCGACAAACCAATCACAATGCGCGTATGATTTTAAGTTCTTCGTCAAAGAATCCCTCAGAAATATTTTTTGATTTTACATATGTCTTGCATCTACAAATATACCCAAGACACAGTTAAATGTGTTCAATTATACTGTATAATTCCGCACGTCCCAATGTGCTTTAAATTACATCTGAAATATATATAATACATGGGGTAAAAATTGTGAACCATTGCGCAACGAGTTGACAATTGTTTTAGGTATGCCCGTTTGCGCTAAGACGGAACCCGGTCGCAAAAATGGATACGAGAGGGGCACGAGTCGCTATTCGGCTTGTCCCGGAATAACACGAGTTGGTCACGAATGCTACACGTCAGCAACAATCCATATTTGGCACTAACATTTATATGCTGACTCACAACCTTATCCACGAAATACAGACCTCCACATGTAACTGGGATATTGCTGAATGCGTCGTTAAGCTTTGATAGACACAGTTGTAGGCAATTTTTAGTAAACAGTAACAGCTGTGGTTTATAATAATACTTCAGTTATTTCACAAATTGACACATTCCCACTGGAGGTCCTGTGTGTTTGTAAATAGATATGTGGACCAGAAGTGATAGAGTTCAAATTAATATTTTGTTGAAGACCTCTGTATGTTGAGTGGTCAAGTAAGGGCAGTGAAATCGGTTTTGTTTATTGTTTGACGCCGTACTCGGCAACATTCTACAAATGACGGCGGTCAGTAAGTAATCGAACATGGACCTGACAACCCGGTGATTGACAACATGAGCATCGATGCACACATGTCGGAGCCACCGACATGCAAAGTCACCGAGCCAGACCCATAGTCGTCTCTTACGACCAACATAGGTTGGTGGGGGACCAATAGTCTAACCGGAATTCCCCCGGGTGAAACCTGGTGTTAGTGCGTCACCACATCACCTGTATTTGACGTTCTCACTCATTCCCCTTGAACGCTGTAAGGTGACAGATACTCCTCAATCACGCAGCAATATCCCGACGATGCAGGCGTTTACAGTGATGTCCTCCGTGATCTGACGTGGCTTGTTAGGGACTGACCATTGGTCAGTTAGTGATTGACAGTGGCGTAAACCGCTCCCCCAACCCTCCAAGAATACAATATGGTCAGTCCCTTAAGTGAGTGTTCACAGGGATGATGATGCATACATTGTCACAACTCTATAACATATTACTGTACAAAGAACTACCCAGTTTATTTTGGGGATCCTACTGCTGTTTTAGATTTCAAGATACGTGAATACGTTTCATATAAATTATGCAGTTTATGTCTTTGCCGATTCAATTATTATTTTAAATAGTAACTAAACTATTATTTCTCAAATGTCTGCCCCATTTCAAAATAAGCAAAGTCTCATTCCTACACAGGATAAAATTGGTTGCTTTTTCACATGCATACATACGTTAATAAACGTCTTTATCTACAAAAACATGTCATTCAACTGCTCTTATCTCGTGTAATGAAAGGAGTAGTGTTCAGACTGTGCTTCATTTTGAACCCCCCCCCCCCCCCCCCCCCCCCCCCACTAAATAACCATTGTGGTATGAGTGTTTGTGAGCTGGGTTGTTGGATGCTTTAAGCAATAGTCCAGCAATATCACGGACTCCATTATTGGTACCGAGTCTACCCATGGGGGAATCAAACCCGTGTGCGGGGCGTGACCAGCCTCTAGGCTACTCTACTGCCCCACTTGTTGTAGTGGTTAAATGGAGATGAACACAGTTTGACTCCATCCAGTCAATCACATACACAGGCTCTAGCCTCAGTTGTTCCATATACTGCTCATCATAAAAAATATGGTTTGGTTCTACTGTAGTGGTAGCGATCCCTAGTAAATATTATAAAAGTAGAAAAGAAGAAAAAAAAGTTAAATGAACGTATATATAACTAAAAAGGGTACTATATCGCAGGATAACGTACAAACGGTGCCTTTGATCTTTTAGCAAAGCATCTTAGAAATATATATATTATGTACGTCTAAGTGTCTGACATTCAAGTCCCGTGTAACAACAGTAGGTTGTCAGAACATATCATGGGCAATGTTTCAGGTTGTCTCAGTCAGTTTGTGTTCAAACCGTGAACATTCGCTGGAAATTTTCTTTTGACCACACGAGACCCGTAGATATCCAACTGCATGGGTGTTGTCAAGGTGATGCTCCATCTATACGACTGTTCGGAAGATGGCACTCCAACTGTATGACATTTCTCAAGGTGAGGCATATCATATTTGATTCGACCTACTCCTTGTCATCTGCATATCTGAAGAATCCCCGGCATCCTGTATACAAACAAAAAGAGATGATTATCATGTATATTTGATGTTTAACGCCGCACTCAGCACTACTTCAGCTGAAGTACCGGCGGTGGTCTGTAGGGGTGAGTGAGTTGGATTTAACGCCGCTTTGAACAGTATTCCAGTTATATCACGGCGTGTCAGCTTAATGTGGGAGGAAAGCCCGAAGCGATGAAGGTCTCAGACGTTTACCACTTCGGTGAAACCCACGAGCACGGGTATGGTGCTGACAAACCTAGAAACATAATCGGGGCGAACCGGGATTCGAACCCACAATCATAGGTTTCTGGCGTGCCCAAGGGACGCAACTCTGCACAGCGAATCGCGGCGCCTTAGACGACTGGGCCACCCGTGCCTCCCGGTGGTCTGTAAATAATCAAGTCTCGACCAGACAATTCAATGATTGATATTGTTAGCAACGATCAACGCCGAGGGGGAACGATGACACGCAATCAATCAGGTCACCGAGTCATGACCCACTGGTCCAATAAGTCGCCTCGCACGACCCAGGTTGCTGTGGTATTGTTATGCTCACAAAACAGGTAAATATGACGTAATGTGTCACATTCACGTCATAGCTAATCATGTATTAAGAGTCTGCTTGACACGTGACATATTCAATGATTTATCTTACATTGGCAGCACATTTGTCAAAGCCATGTTCTGTGTCCCTGCCGCCGCAACATTATTGTATACGCTTTGTAAAACCATAACCACACTTTGCATCTACGTACCAACTGTAAAAGCTTTACCGTTTTGGGTGGTAGTGGTGAAAGCTCTCGCTTGTCAAAACCCGACTTCGCGTCCAACATCAGTGAAACATATCACCGCGAAATGAAATAGTTGGAATATTGCCACAGGTGGCGTTAATCCATACTTTATGTATTTCTACAATGCTGTATATTTGATACACACATAAAAACACGAGATTTAAGGGACGCCTAATTGGTCTGCAAACAGCTAATGGTTCTTCTTCAGAGAGGTGAATAAAACGAAGCGCCGTTTTCTAATCTGCAAGCTACCTGCTTGCAACAAGAATAATGAGCATACATTACGCTTAACATCCTGACTGGCGGACAATATTTAATGCATACCAACAATCCAATCAGACACACGTTCTTATCTTTATTTACATATACCGACCGGGATTTAAAAAATACATAATTTGTAAACCAAAAAATAAAATGTGCTCCCCCAGAATGTTTGACCGAACCGTCTCACCTTTTTCCCAAAGGCCTCCCTCCCGCTGATGATGGTGGCCACGAAGGTACAGACCCATCCAAGAACAATCATAGCCTCAATGCTGACAGCCATGTCGTACAACACGTTCAAGTCCTCGCAAGGATAATGCCAGTTGTTAGGAATAACTTGGCTGTAAAAAAAAATGGGTCATTCAAAAATATTATATTATGATTGCCTTCAAAAGATGATAAGCAACTGTTTGTAATTTACATCAGATCACTCTCGTCAATATTTTCCTGCAATGGGTGAGATGGCCAGAACTTGACACTGTGGGTGCACCCGTATGAAAACTTCAATTTACACCACTCATTGTCATCAAAAGAAATATTACACTGACATATACACCTAAAAAGTCATCGCTTACATGTTTTCATAAGCATTCTAAAATATATATTCGTTGGTATATGCACCATATGACAATTTTCGTTAGTATGTTCACCATATGACAATATCCGTTAGTAAATTCACAATTTGACAATAGTCGTTACTATAGTATATTCACCATGTGACAATATTCGTTAGTATATTCACCATATGACAATATTCGTTAGTATATTCACCATGTGACAATATTCGTTAGTATATTCACCATGTGACAATATTCGTTAGTATATTCACCATATGACAATATTCGTTAGTATATTCACCATATGACAATATTCGTTAGTATATTCACCACATGACAATATTCGTTAGTATATTCACCATATGACAATCACAAACGTGGTAGTTCACAAACCTGCATACACATGAGCGCCCAAAGCTTTGACAGAAACTCATGTTTATTGGTCTGAATGCTTTGGCGACGATCATACTGGCGATGAATATACCCCCCATGACGAGCAGCGTGATGATGCCTACCATCATTTCAACCATGAACTGAAAGACAGAACCACATATACCACATATACCACATATACCACATATATCAATAAAGTACAGGGGGGCACAGGTGGCCCCGTCGTCTAAGGCGCCGCGATTCGCTGTGCAGGGTTGCGTCCCTTGGACACGCCAGAAACCTATGATTTTGGGTTCGAATCCCGGTTGGCCCCGATTATGTTTCATCGAATTTTTAAACGTCTTAGACCTGCATCACTTCGGGCTTTCCTCCTACATTAAGCTGACACGCAGTGATATAACTGGAAAACTGTTAAAAGCGGCCTTAAACCCAACTCACTCACTCACTCAATATAGTACAGTCTGTATTATTATATTATGCGAAGCTTACAGCAATTTTCATTAGCCAAGGGGTCACGTGTCAGTCGACAGAAATGCATATTGACCCCTAGTCAGGTCTGATAATTTACGAGAGTGACTTTTGTTACTAAATTTAGAATGGGAATTACCAGGAATTGGTAGTTCCAACACCTAAGCCAATCAGATGTCTCGGTGTTTTGGAACCTGCTAACATAACATACCTTGAATTGTTGAATTTGCTTTTCCCCCTTTGTTATATAACAACCTTTAAAACCAATATTGACCGAGGACGAACTCCGATGTCCGATGACCTTTTACGGGTCATTAAAAACAGGTATTGACCTCGTTCTGATATGAAGGTCGTTCTGACGTGACCCGTAATGGGATGTCCTCAGATCTTTGTCTAGCGTTGTTGTTTGTTGTTTATTGTTTAACGCCTCACTCAGTAGTATTCAAGCTATCTATACGACAGCACTCTAAAAAACAATGGAGTCTGGACCAGACAATCCAGTGGTTGACATCATGAGCATCGATCTACGCAATCAGGACTAGATGACAAGCATCAACCAAGTCAGCGAGTCTGAAAACCCGAATCCCGTTAGTCGCCTCTTACGACAAGCATGGGTTGCTGAAGACCTATTCTTACCCTGATCTTCAAGGGTCGGTTCAGCGGCAACCGTATCTATATTAATGAAATGCCCGGTGACATCACGCCAACATTGATACTTACAAACGTCTTCGCATTTATACATGCTGCTATGACACCAATCACACCGGAAATAAGGTACTGAAAGTACAAGAAAAGGGTGCAAATGTTTTGCGTCCTAAACAATTTCATATTATCATACTTAATCTGACTATCGCAATTTGAAAACAAATACTAATATATATCATGGTTTTATAGCGGGTGTGTTTTAAGCTGTTTTTTACAACTTCCCAGCCAGATCACGGAGGGAAACAAGGAGAATGAGTTTAACATTCCATTCGTGACCAACTCGTGTTATTCCGGGACAAGCCGAATAGCGGAAAGGGGCGAGTGCTGACGAATGCAGTGTACTAATGTAAGAATCAAAGTTTGTGACGAGCGAGGGCATTAACCACGAGACAACTCCAGATTGTCATGGAAGAGGGTAAATAATTATGTATTCTAAGAAAAATGGCATATTAAATGTCAAATGTTTTAAATATAATATGACATTACTGATTTTCAGGGGACCATTTATATTATTTCCAAAGCTATTTGTCCTTTACGCCAAGTGGAATCTGTTTCGGCAGAATATCTAGTTATTCTCTTGCATTGACAATTTATATTAGTGGAGGAAGCTAAGTGGGGATTCACTGCCCCAGCACCTACCACCACGCCTAGGATGTAGACAGGGTCGTCAGCATACCCAGCATACCCATTGAAGCTGTACGGTGTGACATCGTGTTCACGGGCCTGATAGTTCGCCCGTTCGATCATGTCATTGAAGAAGTAGATAATGAGAGCCAAGGCAATACCTGCAGCAACAGTGTCAACATAGAAACAATACAATAATACATAGACAATAAGCTGTTTTGTTGTTTGTTTGTTTGTTGTTTAACGCCGCACTCAGCAATATTCCAGCTATATGACGGCGGTCTGTAAATAATCGAGTCTGGACTAGACAATCCAGTGATTGACATCAAAAACATCGATCACGCAACTGGGATACGATGACATGTATCAACCAAGTCAGTGAGCCTGACCACCCGATCCCGTTAGTCGCCTTTAACGACAAGCATAGTCGCCTTTTACAGCAAGCATGGGTTGCTGAAGACCTATTCTACCCCGGATCTTCACGGGTCTGTTTTGTTGAACTATTGTCGTATTGTAATAGTACTCCCGTAGCTAAAACACTATCACCGCGCTATTGCACAGGTTGTACCTCTACTGCAAACAAATAGTTCTGCGTTAGTATGTAGAAGAGCTTGACTTTTACGACATATTGCAAATAAATCCGCCATATCCGGTCTATGTCTTATTGACGTAATGCCATAGGCCAATTGCAGTGCAATCCTGTTAATCTTTACATCCCATGTATATACATGTATCACACCCCTAGTACACACAGAGTAAATCTTATTACCCTGGCCTCCATCGCCACGTTCAATTCAGATGCGTCTTGTGATAATACCCGGATACATGGAGCGTTTCATAGAGGTTATCACGCTTGCGTGTTTTGGGATGGCAAATATTCTGCATTAGGAATAAACATTGTATCCCAAAACACACGAGCGTGATAACCTCTTTTTCATATAATGATGATATCTTAAATTTTGTCACCGAAAATGCCTGTTCTCATCTCTCACAAACATTGCCTTAACGCTACGTCAGAAGGTAGGTGATTTGTCAGTCGGAGAGTGTCAACAGTCAAATGGAGCTCCACCTGAAACCTGCGTAACTACAAGCAGACAAATTAACAATTGGTTAGACATTGTGTTTCTGGTTGCCTCTCTCGGCAATCCATCGGTTCGCCTGCTAGAGTAACCTCCCTTTATCAAAGGGAATCTACTCTTACCCTAGCCTATGAGACGCCACGTTTGTTTAGAGTCCTGCCCTGTCATAACGTTACGAAGCGCAGATGAACACTACACTAGATGAAGTGTATTGTTTGGATAATGATAACAATTATCGCTGTAGTTTCTCCACATTCCCGTTGGTTAATTGTGACTGGATTGCCGATTGACAAGGGCGCCATGTTTGTTTGTGTAACCTTCAAATATAAATTGCATGACGTCGCCGCTCGAGTGTTTTGGGTGCCACGGGTAGTATAGTCGTCTAAGACGCTGATATTCGCTATATAGAGTTGCGTCCCTTAATCGTGCCAGACTCCGGTAATCTTAGGTTTTGGATCCCAGATGCCCCTGATTAGCATCCTTGGTTAACAGAGCCATGCTCCTGCTTTGAGTTTGACCACACTGGCACACGAATGACACCCCACCCATAAGGTGACACGCTCATATACCGTCCAAAGGAACGTGTGAATACAACTCGAATGCTCACTCGCTAGACTTAGTTATCTTAATCTTAGGCTACTGCAACATTTTCCATTGGTTTATATGGATTTTTTTCTTTTACCGCCACACTCTAGCAATATTCCAGTCATATGTCTGCGGTCTATAAATAATCGAGTCTGGACCAGAATCCAGTGGTTGACATCATGAGCATCGGTCCATGCAATTTGGATAGATGACAACCATGTCACTGAGTTTGATCACATTCATTTGGTCGTCTTTCACGACAAGCATAGGTTGCTGGGGACCTATATTCTTACCCGGATCCTCGCGGGTTAGTTTCACAAAAAAGACGTCGACAACGTCGTCTTTGTGATATCTAAAAGCAAACTTAAAACACTCCAGGCAACTTGAGCGTAAGCGGCGTCCAATCTAAACCATTGGTAAATACTACCCTGTGTGATGTACTGCAAAATGACAGGAATGAACACGCATGCAAATACAGACAATATTTATGTGACTGTACGTCAAGGGTTATAAACCAAGGCGAATGTAACACATAATATAACAGGTTTGTTAACATGGCCCATGTATCTGTTAAATGCTCCCAAAAGTTTACCTTCTGCTGACAAATTGCCATGTAAAGATCTTCTATATTTACAAGTAATAGAAACACAATACATTTTGAATTCAACAGACAACTACCTCATGTAATGAATACGGGCAGGATTAAGGCCGAACACGAGAAGACAAGTAAGCCTATTTGCGTTAGTCTCACAAATACAGGGACCATATAGTAAGTACAATAACGTTTGTCGCCCTTTTTGAAAACTACATATAACCTAGTCCCTAAAGCATTGAATTGGAAAATAACACCGACAGAAACCCGAAATACAGCTTCTGGGCCTCGCTTAAGGAACAGACATATCATTGTCCTGACCAGCCAACAAGAACGTGTTCGAGAGACAGGTTCACCGGAGGTAAAGCGTAGGTCCTGGCGTCACGCGAGACTGTACAGTGAATCAATAGATCGTGCATATGGATGGAGGATCGTGGGGCAGGCAGGTGTTTCAAAACAGTGACACAACTTTAACGTTGATAAATTCAAACAAGATGCTGACATTGACTCACCCGATACTATTGCAAGTCCCGAGACGACCCAATGTGCTATCCTCACTCCAGTCGACATGATGGTGACACTGCGTGCCTATGCTATCCTGAATAATGTGACAACGTCAAGAAACGCCAGGCCTTCTCTGTTGTACACCGCGCCTTTCACACAGCATGTCACGTGACTATCAATTCTTCATTCCACAGAAATGAGGTCACGTATGAAAAGCATCAGACCATGGCAAAGCGTTGTGTTGACACGATATGCAGTGACTGTTTGAAATTGTGTTCTGCCTGTTTTTGTAAGATGCTGACAATATAGCGCAAACGTTGAACATCTTTAACATGATGTTTCTTTGCAAATGTACAAAATAATACGTTTGTGAACACATGGCTATAGCAGACAGGGTTCCTTACAAGTATACCGTAGTTAGTGTATTTGTTGTATAACGCCGCACACAACAATATTCAGGCTTTATGGTGGAGTCTGTAAATAATCGAGTCTGGACCAGACAATCCAGTGTTTGACTTCATGAGCATTGATCCAAGCATTTACGATACGAGCTGACTACGCGATCCCTCTAGTCGCCTCTTACAACAAGCACAGGTTGATGGGGTCTTATATTCGTAAGCCCTCTGGGTTTGAAATATGTCACATATGCATAGATTATCTCATTATAAACATTTTAATCGCAGCTAAGCGTAAAACCCTTGCTCTTTCATTTAAAATTAATGAAACGTCTTCAAGCTCTCTCATATTTAGCATCACCTATGAAGTCAAATTAAAGTTTATATCACATCTATATTTGAAACTGATTCTTGGATACAAAGTTACATTCATGTTTTTTTGCATTTTGAGAATAACACGAAGGTCAAATAATTTTAATTTAAGAAACAGCGTGATATGAACATAAAAACGAAACAGCTCATCTTCTGTCGTTTACATTCCTCTTTGCTATATGGCTGAACTATTGCGGATATGAATTAATATCAACTCACTCAGTCACTCATTTACATTCACGGCACAGAGAGTTCATCCGAACCTCATCACATATCATGGTCGTAATACCTTGACGCTTCATTCCAAAGTGGAGAAGTGTCAAGCTGCAGTGAGTAATGTGAATGTCGCTGTTATTTATAAGCATGCGTCGAACAATTTAATATGTGAACCTGTCACAACTCTCAGATAGAGAGCTCATCCGAACCTCATCACATAACATGGTCGTAATACCTTGACGCTTCATGCCAAAGTGGAGAAGTGTCAAGCTGCAGTGAGTAATGTGAATGTCGCTGTTATTTATAAGCATGCGTCGAAAATTTAATTTGTGAACCTGTCACAACTCTCAGATAGAGAGCTCATCCGAACCTCATCACATAACATGGTCGTAATACCTTGACGCTTCATGCCAAAGTGGAGAAGTGTCAAGCTGCAGTGAGTAATGTGAATGTCGCTGTTATTTATAAGCATGCGTCGAAAATTTAATTTGTGAACCTGTCAACAGAACTTACGTATGAAAATGAGTGGAAGCCATCAATCAGAAAGTAGTGACCATAGCAAAGTAGACACATTTTATGGATAAACACTTCTTTAATAGGGAGGTGAGGTGTTTGCTGGCTAGAACGTGTTTCTTCTCTGGTCGAGTAAGGCTGTTGCTGGTGTTGATTGCCACGTCTCCATGTAGACGGCAGATGAATTGTTTGATAGGCATTACTGAGAAGTTGACGGAGGTCAAAGTAGACACATTTTATGGATAAACACTTCTTTAATAGGGAGGTGAGGTGTTTGCTGGCTAGAATGTGTTTCTTCTCTAGTCGATCAAGGCTGTTGCTGGTGTTGATTGCCACGTCTCCATGTAGACGACAGATGAATTGTTTGATAGGCATTACTGAGAAGTTGACGGAGGTCAAAGTAGACACATTTTATGGATAACAACTTCTTTAATATCTATCGTTTGATAGGCATTACTTAGAAGTTGACGGATGTGAAAGTAAACACAATTTTATAGATAACAACTTCTTTAATAGATAGTTAAGAAGTTGTTATCCATATAATGTGTCTACTTTGTCATCCGTCAAATTTATGGATAACAGCTTCTTTAATAGATATTAAAGAAGTTGTTCTCCATAAAATGTATTTACTTTGTCAACTTCTAAGTAATGCCTATCAAACAATAGTGACCACAGACACTGTTACAGATTTGTTCTGGACAATTTGTCAAAATGAAAGCGAATGCCATCTGAGATTTATTGAGAAAACAATGTGTGGAATGCTAGAATGCTCATTGAAAACCTCCATGTAAAAATTGGAGGTAAGACATTTAGACAAGCAGTAGGCATCCCCAATACAAAAGTCTACATTTCCTTTATGTCGAACGATATTCCTGCAGCTCCAGGCTTTGATGTCTTCATTTCACAACTCTTGTCATACAACTGAGTATTTTCTTCCTACGAAGAATTCAAAGAGCGTCGTGCTACTCTTGTATGATGGTAGACACGTGGAGGGCATTTCCAAATTTGACACAATTTGACACAAGCAATTCCGTATTTCGACTTGTACCACATGGGGTAAGCGTGATATCCGGTTAGTTGGTCGACAAAATGTGGAAATGGCATCATTGTGATGACATAGCTGATAGATTATGAATTTTGTTTGCATTAATATGGATTTAATCAGATGTGTATGCCGCAACTAAGACCCAGAACTGCCAGTTCCCACGTTTTCCTGATTCAATGTATCTGATAGTTCTAGGGGAAGTCCAAGTAAACAGTATAACTGCACGGGCTCTGGTTCCATATATTGTAGTTTTGTGGAAAACAGTTTCTACGAATGATTAGCTTGAATACATACCATGAAAGCAAAATATCTTACCACGGTGATTGTATGCAGTTATTAACTGCAGCGAGACATTTCATGAAGTGAGAAAGACAACCTCCACAATGCACATACTTTAAGGCTCTAGACAATAGGTTAGCTGCGCTCCTAACATGGTTAACATGTTCCTTGTTACTAACATCAGGGGGGCACGTGTGGCCCACTCGTCCCTACGGCACACCAGAAACCAATGTTTGTGGGTTCGAATCCCGGTTCGCCCATATTATGTTTCTAGGTTTGTCAGCACCATACCCGTGCTCGTGGGTTTCACCGAAGTGGTAAACGTCTGAGACCTGCATCACTTCGGTCTTTCCTCCAACATTAAGCTGACACGCAGCGAAATAACTGGAATACTGTTAAAAGCGGCGTTAAACCCAACTCACTCACTACTAACATCAACATTAAGGATGAGACATTCTTCTGTTTAATAAGCCTTGTCGCCAGTGTCTTCTTTTTCATCTTCAATTTCGCCAAACAACACACTCTTATAGGTGCTTCCCCCCGTGAATATCAGAATAAGTCTTCAGCAACCCACGCTTGTTCCCTATGAAGATCCGTTGGGTGTAGAATTGGTCTTCAGCAACCCACGCTTGTCGTACTCAGGCTCAGTGATTTGGTTGATGCATGTAATCGTATCCCAATTGCGAAGATCGATGCTCGTTACAAACAACAAACAAACGAACCTATTGCCCTCGTGTCTGATGTGACTTGTACCTTGGATGCAGAATTACTGCATGTTAAGATCAAGACACGCACTGTTTGTGTGTCATCGTTTAGAATTAATATGAGGGTAGATATTATTTTTATGTATACCTAAGTTTGCCCGTGTCTTCATTCAAAAGATACGAAATATAAACATTGTATTGTTCTTAATTGGTAACAAAATATCAAAATATAGACTTCTTATAAACTAAAACATTTTGGGTCTTTTTTATCAGTTGTATTTAAAAAACAACAACCAGAAATGCAACCAAAAAACTTAACCGTTTTGTTTGTCTTTTGTGTAAACATATGGTCGGTGGGTATGTCGTGATTACCAAGATCCTGAACAATTATACAAACATGCTGTCGTGGTGAGTTTAATATTTTAGTGCCGGGACATGCATAAAAACAATTTGTGATATACTGTATTCCCTAAATGAGTCTTTTAGACTTGGCGGTAATAAAAAAACTGATTTGAAAATTTTGTTACTTTCTTTTACTTTTCCATTTTTGACGGTCGGCAGATCCGTAAACCAATTCATAAGAACCGCCTTAGATATATGTTTGCTCCAATGTTATGAGATGTTATTTTGTTGTCGTTTGTACAAATTATAACCAATTAACCACACAACGATATAGCTTACACCAATATAAAACGGGTTGCAACTAACCGCTCCCACAGGAAAGAAGGGTGGTCATTTTCAGCTTTGCATTTTGAAAAGTAGATTTATTGGACGTTCGTTAACACGGTCTTATGTGTAATAATTTGATCTTTATATTGATTATTATTTGCAAAAACAAAACTTTTTTGTAAATAATTGGATCATATGACGTATGTCTGATCTTGACTATCATTGTTACACGTTTACAAAACGTCAACAAAGAGATGAATTAGTTGGAAGCTCGATCAGTTGGTTATTGACCCATTATATTCTATTTTACAATTGTTAATTTGTTTTCATATACGTACCCTGTCATGTGTAAAGTGTGATGGACTCCATTTTGTCAACCAACTAACCACAACAATCGACCAACTAACCAAATGTCAGTCACCCGCTTACCCCCGTGTATATACCCCGTGTTTTTTTTAGATGAACAATTAACTTGCCTTTGCATGTGTTTGTGACGGGTGCCGCCGATGGGGCAGGATACGCTCACCTTTTCGCGAACACCTGGTATCATCACTATTTGATTGTGATTCATAAACACACATGATACATTCGGGGCGGTCGGGTAGCCTAGTGGTTAAAGCGTTCGCTCGACCCGGGTTCGATTCCCGACATGGGTACAATGTGTGAAGCCCATTTCTGGTGTCCCCCGCCGTGATATTGCTGGAATATTGCTAAAATCGGCGTAAAACCATACTCACTCACTCACTCACTCACTCACATGATACATTCGAAATCGAACCATCGACTCTGATTTTAGCAGAGAGTTCGTGTGGCTTTGGAAATGGTTTTGTCGCTTTATTTTTTGTGTCCTTCATTCAGATTAATTAACTCAATATTTGTTACAATGATTTTTTTAGAGGTGAGAATTCAAACTGCCTTTCGGTGCCGCAGACCACAGTTTGATCACCGCGTCTTCGTCGTGATTTATACCAGCTTCCCG